TCCACAATGACCCAAATCGCATGGACCTAAAACATGGTCTGAGCTCGGAATCACATTCGCCTCGGCCCCCTCCTTTCTGGGGCCTTCCTGGGACCCCCCCCCAGCTCCACCCCCCAGGCTTCACTTGGCAACAAGCACACGAGCAGAAGTAACAAATGAGCCGAAGGTCTTGCACGGCATGCTGGCATTGCAAGCCTGTAAAACATGAAGGCAGGGAGTCTACATCCTGTGAGCTCGCTTACGCTGCGTGTTCATGCGGGGCTGCTCTTGGTTGTCGTTTTCCTCGACCCGCGTTCGCTTTCTGTATCTGCACGGTCTGCACGGTCTGCACGTCCCGTGTAAAACTCCAAGGTGCACCGCTTGGACTCTGACGTGGCACGTCCCGTGACGTCCCGTGGCATGGGCCAGCGTTGACAGTCAAAAAGCCAGATATTGCAAGAGGTCGTTTCGTTTCAGTTCGTTTCAGAGGTACTTTGGGAGTGCCCATGTCCACCTTCCAAGCGCGCAGTCGAAGACAGCACTGCCTGGACAGTTTGAGCTTTGGAGCTACCAAAGCTACATGGTAGAACATCAAAGCCAGAAACAGTTTCGGCCGCAAGTGTCGTGAACCACCTTGGTTGTGAGTGACCTGAAACCAATGCCCAACACATGCAACACATGCAACACCAGACAGAGAAGCCGCCCTGTGAGAGGAAAGAGTGAAGAGGGAAAAAGCATGAAAAAGCTTACCATGCCGGGTGACTCAGGGCCAGCGGGGCGTTCCCGAAGTGCACCAATGCACGGAGGAGCATGGCCCCGACCTTTCGCGCGACAGCTTACGGTCTTTCTGACTGACCATTGAAAGTTTATAGGATCCAAGCCTTTGGTATTTTCAGGACGTGTGGCGCCTCGGCAATTGCTACGGCATCCAGCTTCGTGCGGCAATATGCGGCAATGTTCCCAAACTAGAAGTGGCTGTCCACAGCCAGCCAATTCTGGGTGGGGAGGCAGAGATCTCTGCCGCACAGGCGAAGCCGACAACTCGTGGCAGTGCCCTTTATAGTCTCCAGCCCTCAGCCCTGGAATCTGACCCTCCCAACTTTCTCCATGTCCTCACATGATCCGGCTAAGCCCCAGGCCGTGGTCCACATCTGCCGCCACTGCTGCACGCTCTGCTGGGCTCGTTCTCGGCAGGCGCTGCCAAAGCGATGCTGCTTTTTTGGGCTGCTTAGCAAATAGCAGTAGCTCTTAGAAAGCACACGTATGGTGAATTGTTGAGAAGCGGATAATGACTATTCAATCATGAGTGGGCGTGGATACAAAAAAAGTCCTGTAGCTATCAGCCGTGCACCCTCATCCAACACGCTCCTCTATCACAAACTCACCTTCCTCCAACATACACCTCGAAGCCTGAAAATGCCAATCCAAAAATCCAACAGTAACAACTGGGTTCTCTCGAGGCTTTGACTCCACCCGAGCTCCCGACGGCGGTCGTTCACGAAGAGCGTCATGACCTTCATTTTGGGGCTCGGGTCTGCGGGCTTTAGTTTTGAGGGTTTCATGGTGGCTCTGAAGTGTCGCTTCCTTCTTTACTTCCTGGCCACATCGCCCCCAAGGGGGCCGGAGGGCGTGCTCAACTTGGTGTGTGTGTGGCACTGCTGTTGAAGTAAGTGTGTCTGTCTCTCTCTCTCTCTCTCTCTCTCGTGTGCGTGCGTGCGTGCGTGCGTGCGTGCGTGCGTGCGTGCGTGCGTGCGTGCGTGCGTGCGTGCGTGCGTGCGTGCGTGCGTGCGTGCGTGCGTGCTGCGTGCGTGCGTGCGTGCGTGCGTGCGTGCGTGCGTGCGTGCGTGCGTGCCGTGCTGCGTGCCGGTGCGTGCGTGCGTGCGTGCGTGCGTGCGTGCGTGCGTGCGTGCGTGCGTGCGTGCGTGCGTGCGTGCGTTCGTGCGTGCGTGCGTGCGTGCGTGCGTGCGTGCGTGCGTGCGTGCGTGCGTGCGTGCGTGCGTGCGTGCGTGCGTGCGTGCGTGCGTGCGTGCGTGCGTGCGTGCGTGCGTGCGTGCGTGCGTGCGTGCGTGCGTGCGTGCGTGCGTGCGTGCGTGCGTGCGTGCGTGCGTGCGTGCGTGCGTGCGTGCGTGCGTGCGTGCGTGCGTGCGTGCGTGTGTGCGTGCGTGCGTTCGTGCGTGCGTGCGTGCGTGCGTGCGTGCGTGCGTGCGTGCGTGCGTGCGTGCGTGCGTGCGTGCGTGCGTGCGTGCGTGCGTGCGTGCGTGCGTGCGTGCGTGCGTGCGTGCGTGCGTGCGTGCGTGCGTGCGTGCGTGCGTGCGTGCGTGCGTGCGTGCGTGCGTGCGTGCGTGCGTGCGTGCGTGCGTGCGTGCGTGCGTGCGTGCGTGCGTGCGTGCGTGCGTGCGTGCGTGCGTGCGTGCGTGCGTGCGTGCGTGCGTGCGTGCGTGCGTGCGTGCGTGCGTGCGTGCGCGTGCGTGCGTGCGTGCGTGCGTGCGTGCGTGCGTGCGTGCCGTGCGTGCGTGCGTGCGTGCGTGCGTGCGTGCGTGCGTGCGTGCGTGCGTGCGTGCGTGCGTGCGTGCGTGCGTGCGTGCGTGCGTGCGTGCGTGCGTGCGTGCGTGCGTGCGTGCGTGCGTGCGTGCGTGCGTGCGTGCGTGCGTGCGTGCGTGCGTGCGTGCGTGCGTGCGTGCGTGCGTGCGCGCTTGCGCGTGCGTGCGTGCGTGCGTGCGTGCGTGCGTGCGCGTGCGTGCGCGTGCGTGCGTGCGTGCGTGCGTGCGTGCGTGCGTGCGTGCGTGCGTGCGTGCGTGCGTGCGTGCGTGCGTGCGTGCGTGCGTGCGTGCGTGCGTGCGTGCGTGCGTGCGTGCGCGTGCGTGCGTGCGTGCGTGCGTGCGTGCGTGCGTGCGTGCGTGCGTGCGTGCGTGCGTGCGTGCGTGCGTGCGTGCGTGCGTGCGTGCGTGCGTGCGTGCGTGCGTGCGTGCGTGCGTGCGTGCGTGCGTGCGTGCGTGCGTGCGTGCGTGCGTGCGTGCGTGCGTGCGTGCGTGCGTGCGTGCGTGCGTGCGTGCGTGCGTGCGTGCGTGCGTGCGTGCGTGCGTGCGTGCGTGCGTGCGTGCGTGCGTGCGTGCGTGCGTGCGTGCGTGCGTGCGTGCGTGCGTGCGTGCGTGCGTGCGTGTCTGTGTGTCTGTGTGTCTGTATGTCTGCGTGTCTGCGTGTCTGCGTGTCTGTGTGTCTGTGTGTCTGTGTGTCTATGTGTCTGGGTGTCTGTGTGTGTGTGTGTGTGCATGTGTCTGTCTGTCCAAACACGAAGTGCAAGGTACTTCAAAAAAGCGTTGGCAAACCATGGAAAGCGAAGTCATCTTAACACCGAGAGCAAGACGGCCATGTGCGCAGCACACTTTTGCTTTCGAGCCTAGCCAGAAACTGGACAGTGACTTGCATGGTAAGCAAAGCGGCATAAAGCGCCTCCTGGAGGTCCTTGATGCGCTTGTCACGCAGCCGCTCAAACCTGCACCGAACACCAAACCGAAACACTCCAATCCACTCAAATACGCTCAGACTAGATCCATCTAGATCCCATTCCAACTCAATTCCAGGGCATGGACTTGGCACGGCGGTGTTGCTCCTCCATCTCAGCCTAGCAAGTATGGTAAAGGAATGCTCTGCACTGCTGTAGCCTACCAAGCAAAACCCGGTGGCAACGTACAAACATTCAGAGACCCGTCTTGCATCAGAAGCTGAGGGCGGAGCCCGCATCTTGGCTTCCACGGCATCCAGGACCTTGTCCGTGTCTGACTTGCCAGACTCCTTCTCGCAAGACTCATATAAAAGGACCAACATCGAGAACAGATCGAGAGCGCCAGATTGTCCGTGCACAGCCTCTACATTGCTCTACAAAGTGCACTGTGTCGTCAGTAACAGGCAGTGACAGGCGTACCCGAGTGTACCATGACATCATCCGCGTCATGGGCGAGAACGGGAGGTTGCATGCCGCATCTCTCTGGCTGTGCAGCCCCAGTCCGGAACGCCACTGCGGCTGGACCGCTTGTTGCTATCCTCAGAACGACTCAATTGACAACGTGACCGCAGCCGCAGTGCTCGGTCAGCGAGCAGCAAGTCAGAACTGTCTGTCCTTGGACAAGTCATCCTTCTGCGCGTTCCTAAGCGAGAAGAGGAGGCACACTTGAGGGCACTCGGGCGCTCCTGCTACTGCGGATTGCAGCCCAAAGCTGAGAACAACGCTTGCCCTTCTTCTTGACCTTCTTAGGAACGGCACGCTTCTCATGGTACCTCTCAGGGCATAGTTCGGGCTGCAGCACCAAAGCTACCGCGGGCATCCTAGCAGAACCCTTGTGTTTTGAACTCTCTCGTTGTTTGTACAACTTCGCGTGTTCCTCCTCGAGCGCTATGCAGACCGTCAGCCGACAGCCAGCTCCGTGCCCGATTATATCCACGAGCCCTCTTTCACTGTTGTACCGCTTGGATACGTTGGATTGGGGGTCTTCAGCACCTACAACAGCCGCTGCCAAGGACCAAAGAGCCATCTCAGCCGAGAAACAAGAAGCCAACGTCTGCTTTAGAGGACGCTTGTTTGTTGATGCACAATAACGTTCTTGATCCTGATCCGCCCCAAACAACCGGAGTCTGGCTTCGGACTGCAGGGGGTCCTTCGGTTGGGGAAGCGCCTGCTAGTTCGTGTTCATGCTTTCAATAACTGCTGTTCCGTGAGACTACCCAATTTCAATTTCAATAATGGCAGCAAACCCATGACGCCGAGAATATGTTCTTGGATCCAGTGAAATAGTACAGGGACTAATAATACAGGGATTAACAAGTAAATCTATGTTCTTGGATTCTCTTGGCTTGCTGTCGATGCCTCACACCATAAGCACGACATATGAAGCCCTAAAACCTTTGAAAGATAAACAACAGCCCTCAACTCCATCTTGCAAAGGGCATGGCATAGTGGCATTTTTCCTACTGTTTTCCGCTCAGTACTCCTGGGGGAAGCGTGTTTCTTTTTCGGCGTGCTTGGTTCAAGCCTCTGGCTGAAGATTAGAAGCAGAGGGGCAAAAAAGAAAACGAGAGAGAGAGAGAGAGAGCCCGCTCCGGGGGCACGCGGCCGTTGACTGGGCGATGGCTTCCGCAGCCTCCGCAATTTGGCAAAGCACAAAGTGCCACGAGACGTGCATGTCGCAGGCGACAGGACCACCGCTTCAGCTGCTTCATTGTTGCTTCACTTTGGGTTCTGCTGTCGCTGGATTGCCCCCGTCCTTTCTGAAATTGCTATGTCACTATGTCGGCCCAGTGTGCAACTTCGCAGTAAGTCGCAAAGCCACATTGGATCCATGATTGTGTTCACAGCACGGCCTTCTTTCGCTCCTCCATCCTCTTCAGCTGCGCCTGCACTCATGCAGCAATGTTGTAACAAGGCAGCCACTTAGGGCCCTGTCAGACTGGACGTACACAAAGCAAACCCATGCAAACTAAATGCCTCAAAAATCGGCTGCCGGAGGCTGTGGAGCAAGTTCAGGTACTCCTGGTTCCGCTCCTGGCAACATGGCAATCAAGGACACCCCAAGATACCCTCAGCAATACCTATACCGAATCCCAGACACACTTCAACCGTAGGCAACATGCCTCGCGCTGTGTGACGTACTCAACAACGCATTCGACTCTACAAAGCGACTTCTTGGCCTGCATCATCTTGGCCATGCGCATTCGCTCGGCCTTGACTTCGAGCACCTGCATGGCTGAGGCGATTTCTCACTCTTGTCTCCAAGCTTGGCTGAGCCGAGCACTGCTTTCAGCCATGCTTGGCTCTTTCGGCGGATGCGCTCCTGGCCATCAATGCTCCGCAGAGCTCAAGTCTTCCAAGGCTGCTCAGCTTCTCGCGAACAGCACGGCCCTCATCGCGGACACTACAGCGAACTCCTCTCGGGCATCCCAAGCAACCTAGCAGACGACAGTGGCGACAGCTTCACAAAAACAAATCCTCTGGGGCATCCCAAGCAACCTAGCAGACGACAGTGGCGACAGCTTCACAAAAACAAATCCTCTGGGGCATCCCAAGCAACCTAGCAAAAGCCCAACTGATTCAGGACAGGGCTTGGACTGACGTCGATTTTTGCTATGCTTTCCGTGGGTGAGATTAACACTTTCCTTGCTCTCGCAGTTTTGGGGGAGGTAGACAAGACTTTTGCGCTTCTGCTCCGAGGCTTCATGGCAACTGCCACACGAGCGGACGATCTGTCCCTTCGGGCGTGCAACTTGCAACATCCTGCTTTGGACTTTGGACCATCTTGCCTGGCGCTTGTGCATGATCTCTTCCTCATGCTTCTTCTCCTGTCAAGAGCTGGGAGCTGTCCCTCCGTCCGATTCCTAAAAGTCAACCGTGAGGCACCTCCGCCTGCTTCTTGCGCAGCTCTGCCAAGTCGAGCTCCTTCAGGCACAGCTCAGGTCGAGGTATTAGGAACCGCGACTGCGAGCGTCTATTGCTACTGGCATCTGCGGGCCTTGCGTCCGATGGCTTCTGCGATTGCCTGACGAGCACACATCGGACCAGTGAACACTGGCAGACAGTGGCAGACAATGGTGAACACTGGTGAACTCTGGTGAAGGCTGGCAGTCACAGGTGAACACTGGCGGTGGACGAACGCGACTGACCGGGTTTCCCTGCCTTGGCTCGCTCGGCATCTCGCATCTTCCATCTTGCCCGGAGCTGCCTCAAAGCGGAAAACCATAGCGACCCCTCCAGATTCCCAGATGAGTGCGAATCTTCAGAGAATGCCGCAGCTGAGCCGGTTTCCTATAGTCTTCTGCATCGCGCTCTTCGATGCGTTCTTCCTTCGCCTGCCGAATTGAGTCCTATGCCGTTCTATGCCTCGATCTGAGTACGTGCACATATATATATATATATATATACGTATGTATATATACACACACATTCATTGTTAGATCTCTGCTTCATCCCCGGCGCGACTGACCATCCTAGCCTCGACAGCAATCCGGCGCTGTCGCTGTCGCTCCTTCTCGAGGCGGCTTGCCTGGATGCATCTGGATGCACTTGTCATCGCAAGGCACTGCATGATGGCCCTGCTTCCAGCGCTGCAACCCAGCTAGCAATCAAGCGTCCTCCTTTTGCCGTCTTTCCAGCTCCTCCTTCATCTGGACCTAAAGAGCGTGTGCACTGCACTTTGGTATGGATGTTCAGTCAAGCCCCTGCTCCAGTTCCCATGAAAGGTCAAGCGCCAAAGCCTCTTCAAGCAGACTTCACATGCTTTCACGCCGAAATTTGTGTGAGAGTTAGGCCCGAACTCGACGGGTGCGCTCGGCTTCGAGTTTCTCATGGTGCTCTCGCTTGAGCCTGGCGAATCAATCCATTGCACGGGTGCGCAAACTCGGTGCACATGCGGTGCAATTTGCACATTGTAGTGCCACACTAGGTGAACCAAGGCTACAACACAAGCCCAAGTAGTCAAGATCAGAACAATTGTGAAGCGAACTCATGGCCTTTTGTCTTCTTCTTTCAACCAGAAGACCTCGCCCAAAATTGTGAAGTTTACGATGCAGCGACACGCCCTCCGGGCCACAGATGCAGCATGATGTGCAGCATGTTCCTGAGAATTACCAGGCTCCACACATGCTGCAGAAACTTTTGTCTGGATTCTTGCTTTCGCTTGGCAATGTTCTCATTGCGCTTAATGTCCAGCCTCAACTTGCACAGCCCAGGTCGCAAGAAGGCCGTTCAGGAGTTCAGGGAAACTAAAAAACCTGGGCCGACAGCATGTCCATCTGTTCACGCAATCTCTGCCGCTCTTTCAAGTCCTGGTGAGGGATGTCGTGTGGTGCCTCCACCCTTTTTAAACCTGAATAAACCTGATTGCCCACACGAGGAAGCTTCTGTTTTACACGACGGTCCATGCGACCCGTGGGAATCTTCCGCACGGTCTCGTAGATGGGAAGCTCGGGCACCTGCCAGCTTCTCGAAAATGATCAATCCCGAAACGAAAGCGATTCTATAACACCCCAAGACAGTTTACCAGCGGAGCTCTTAAGTTGTTTTGTCTTTCTGCCCTTTCGCTCCTCTGGCGTCGGCTCCGGCTGCAGCTTGAGCTGCCGGTCCTTCCCAACCTGGTCAACTCAGACATGACACTGTCTGACACTTTGAGAGATGCTTTGTGAATAAAGCGCACATAATGTTTTTTTGCGATGTTTTGTCCGATGTTCTACGTCTCCTCTTTTTGCGTCCAAAGCGCTGTGAGAATGGCCAGCCGCTCCGCAATCCAATGGAACCGGCCTCCGACTTCGCTGCGCGACACGCGAACACAATCACAGGACATGAGACAGTGAAGCGTTCTAGGAATGCTCTCGAGGTCACTTGCAACTCTCCAGACAGGACTGTTCAATAACTTGTGGTAAGGTCGCTTCACCCCGGGGCTGATATCCCCCATGCTTCACGCGCAAACCGGCATGAAGCCGAGCTGTGTCTTGTATAGCAACGAGCGACGCCTTCTTTCCGATTGGGGTTCATGAGCTCGGCCTTGGCTGAGTCCACTTTGCTCTTGCGAAAGGTGCAACGGGCAACAAGCTGCTGGCATTGAAGCGAAAAAGCCCGTCGAAGTCTTGGTAGCTGTACTGGATGTGAAACCTGAGCAAGTTCCGCTGCGACCAGAATGCCGAAGAAAGGCAGACCAAGGCATTTCCATATACGGCTATATACATCTAAACAAACCCTGCCTGAACACGCCACCCATGCTGAGAATCCCGCTGATCTTGCGTCTCCAGGCCATAAGTTTCGAAGGTGACGGCGCGCCGCTTGGTGTGGTCGTAGACGTTGATGAGGAAAGTCTGGCAAAGAGCTCGCCAAGGCTGCTTCACTGCTGTTGTGCGGCCACTCAACAGAGGCAGCAGTCATCCAGTCTGAAAAAGCATCCGCTTTGGAAACCTCCGAATTGAAGAGCTTGCTTTCTTGGTAGACCAGAGGCCCTTTATCCTTGGGCAGTGCTCACATGTGTGCGCATGTGGATTTGAGCGTCGCTGAGGCGTGATTGCACTTGAAATAGAAACGCTGACGTGATACAGATTATTAGGAAATTGCGCCGCTCCTTCTCGTCGTATCCATCCTCCCCTTCAGTCCTGAGCGCAGAGAACAGTCATGATGCAAAAACGCCTGATTGATAGGTTCTACTTGCAACTACTTTCGGAGCGGGTCAGTGTTCATTCATCTTCTCTGCTCACCAGCGGCTAGAATTCCTGAAGCCGACTCTCTACGAAGATTCGGAGGGACGACCTTCTTTCCTGGCTCAACTCATTTCAAAATAGTCCGTGCCAGGGCCCCAGCATGGTTGGAAGCCTCGGATCGTCTTTGAATTCATTGCAAAGCTCACTTGAATGCAAAAAAATCAGCGATCCCCAGCGAAACAAAATAAATCTGTCAACATTCGTCAACGAAGCGCCTGGACGGCGCCACGCAGCCGCCCAAACAACGCTCAGAGCCGAAAGCCGAGCATTGCTCCTACCGGCCCAGTAACTCAAGAACGTCCTGCCAGCGCCCATGTTTCCAGTCAAGGTCTCGCGCTGTGCAGGTGACATATCCATTCTCACATTCGGAACGAAACCAAGTGCCGAACCTGCGGCAACGCACAAAATCGAGCAATTTATCCCACCTTGTTCCGCCAACACCGCACGGTGTCATATAGGCAGGCTATTCTCATCCTCGAAGCAAGCTCTCATATGGGCTCTCGAAGCATCTTCAGGTCTCTAAGCCAACTCATGAAAGGACAGTACTACAGTACTTGTGTATGAGAAATGCTTCGAGTCGGGGCAGAGAGGCCCAAGGTGAACCTGCATGTAGTCAAAGCTGTTGACTGCTGGCGTAGATGTAGACAGAACTAAAAGTTCTGAAATGTTTGAAGCATGGCTCGGCTGCTTCAACCGGACAGCATGAGTAGTTATAAGTTGCAAACCTGTGATATCGATTCTGATCCATACCATTCCATACCAGATGAGGGCACAAGACGCAGAGCATCAGCTGCCCATCGGCTGCTCAGGTGCTCGTGAAGTGACCTCTGGGCACACGCGCTGCAACGTCCCGGAAATGTTCAACCTGTTTTTGCTGAGAACCCGATGCTTGGGCTCCAGCCGACATTAATGTCATCAATACCTCCGTCACGCAAGCTTGCTCCGCGAATGGAAACCACAGCTGGGCAAAAAGATCAAACGACTCAGCTTCCAGCGGCCCCGGGCGAGAGCTGCCAGACTGCGCAAACTTAACGAGGATATGCCCATCTCCTTGCAAGGTCATGTCTTGGGCAACAGCGTGGAACTCCCTTTTTCAGTGTTGTGCAGGATTGTGCAGGTCGACGCATCGTGCCTGGGCGAATCTCATACTTCTCGTGCAGTGTCAGAACCTGCAAGCAGCTTCCGTCGCAAACCACGAACCATCCTGCGCTTCCAGGTTGATTAGTGTTTAGCGTGTGCCCACATTTTCTGCACCTAGCTGGGCAGTTTCGCAATTCCAGTTGCTCTCGAGCGAGAAAGAATTATATGGAATCGTTCACGCACAATCTGGAGGCTGAAAAAGACGATGCTGCAATCGTCCGTCTGAGCTTCGGGCAGCAGTTTCAGCCTCCGTGGTATTGGAATACCTGGCGACCGCATGAAGCTGAGTGCACACTTGGCAAGAGATTGACAGGCTTGTTCGTGGCTTGGGATGGTAGTGTCGGCAGAGCCGTCTGCTTGGGCACTCGACGAAGGCACAGCTCTGGCCACTCTTGGACTTACCGGCCATGACGTGGACGTTGACGACCTGCGTAGGTGCACCCCGAAGAAGCCAGTAGCGATCACAATTTTCTGTTAGGCTCCGGCATTGCCGTAAGTCCCGAACACCTGTGTCAGAACCTGCGCGGTTCGAATTGCCCAGTTGGACATGCATCCAATTCTGCACGCCTTCAGTACTGCGGAGTCTGACCACATCCAACATATTCCAACATGAAACATGAAAACTGCCCTGAACATGCCGACGCCTCTTGTGTGATGTCCGGCGGGAGATTCCTGGCGGGCATCACAAACTTCACAGACCCAGTCACTCTCACCACTCCGCGCGCACACAGCACGCCGAGTCTTCGCACTGAGAGCGAGAGAGAGAGCGAGAGAGAGAGAGAGAGAGAGAGTCGCAATGTTAGCTAAGGAGTCGTGGAGGACAACATTCTGCACGGCTCTGTCGTTTGCGCGGAATCCCGGAAGCATGAAGAGATTTATGATTAACATGGCTCTGCATCTTTCTAACATCAGCAAGCCCTTCTGCTCTGCAATGGACACAAGCAAAGATCATGCCACTCTACGCAACACATACCAAACAGCACATGTCAAAGAGGTGCACATGAACAGTCACACAACAGCAAGTCTTGTGGCAAAGCCCACCGCAATCAGATCCGTCTCACTAAGGTCCCCCCAAGAGCCAGCAAGTATTGCTACAAGTATGTACGAAACTATCACACGCATGAGGATGTCAGCCAGACTGCTCAGGCAGAAGCTTAAGCTGAATTGTAAACAGGATCATGGCACCCGACGAACAGCTTTGCTTTTGCCACAGCACCTTCACATGCTCTGCTTGTGACGAGGTTTGAACTGCTTCTGACAGCCACCGACAGCTGAAGCCGTTGCGACTGAGGTGAGCGCCGTCGCCACCTCCCTGCCACTGGCCACCTCCTTGCCACTGGCCGCCTTTCCCGCAGCCGCCGCAGCCGCCGCAGCCGCAGCCGCCACCTTGGTTAACACACCAAGGGAGAAATGTGCAAAAACAGCCCGTTTCCTCTTAAGGCTCCCCTTGTTAAGGCTTGCTGAGACTGGTGCCCCAGCTACCACAACCACAGCAGCCGCCGCAGCCGCCGCAGCCGCCGCAGCCCCCACAGCCACCACAGCCGCCACAGCCACCGCAGCCTCCACAGCCACCACAACAGCCTCCACAGCCGCCGAACCCGCAGCCAGGGCCGCAGCCGCAGCCCCCGCCGCAGCCTCCAAAGCCGCCACAGCCGCAGCCACCAAAGCCGCCGTAGGACCCTCCGCAGCCTCCATACCCACCTCCGCCCCCGCAGCCGCCGCTGAAGCCGCCACCACAGCCTGTGTCTGGCACAGGATGCACAGGCGACTCTATGAAGACGTGACTTCAATGCCGAAGGCTGTTGAGCTGTCTGCCCCTACAAAGCCTGCACCATTCTTTGAAGGAAGGACAGCTACCAACAAACTGTTTCTATCTGGTGCGGTGTCCTGACAAAGTGCTTACAAGCTGCCTGAAAGCATGTGCTCTGGCAAGCCTTTGACCCCAACCCACTTGTCCTCCTCCAGAGTAGCCACCACCGCCGCCACCCCGCTGATTCTTCGCCCAGGACACGCGGATGGGGTTCCCTCCCTGGTGGACGGAGCAATGTGCGCAGGGCAAGTCGGGGGGCGACTTCATGCGGCTGAAGATAAGCATACACTCCAACCACTACATGACAGATGTTTTTTGCGAGGCCCCCTGTAGCTTAATCCCGCACTTCCATGTTCACCGTCATGCGACCCTCATGCCTTTAAAAGGCAACCGTCGGTGCGGCGCCTCTCGCAGAGTGAGGGCGTTATCCATCCCACTGATGGCGCTGTCACCGGAGGGTTTACTGCGCAGGGCAGGTAGCAAACTAAGCGAATAAAGTCTTCATCGACATCAGTTGACTATGCAAACACCTTTCAGCACACATGCAATGCGTACGGTAGGGCATAGGGCCATAGGGCCCTCGCCTGTCGTAGACCACGAACGCGCAGGCCTGGCACCAGACCACGACAAACCACGATGCAGGGAGGTGAAGAGATCACCCAACAAACTTGAAGCACCTGGGCTCGAAGGAGGTTCCTAAGCTAGCAACATAAGACCCAACGACCCAGCTGTCATAGCTTTTCACGGCACGCTTTGGAAGTCGCAGCCTGGCCCGAGGTGGACTTCCCTCTCATGATGTGGTGCTCCACGACATTGCCTTTCGACGGTCAGTTTCTGAACGTCTTTCTTCGTGTCTTCTTGTCACTCTATACCGTCTATAGCCGTGATCCATTTCCAGGCCCTCTGCGACTCTCCATGAGGCACCATTTGTGGGCTTCTCTGCAACCGCTGAACCAAACACCCAGCCCGATGCCATACGTACCGAAGGCTGTCTTGATCTCGTCATCCGTGATGTCTGGCCTCAAGAGGACCATCATCAGCAGGTTGAAGCAGGTTGAAGCCGACAATGTGCTCCCAATCTTTGAGAATCATGATCATTGCTATGCCTGCATGCTGCTGCTAGGCCAAGCCAGTATTTAGAAGCAGCAAGCTTTGAATCTGAGCTTGTGGCGGTAAGCTGCCTACAAACAGCTTGTGTTTCTCCTGGCTATGGCAACATGTGCAGGCAGTGCATGACAACGACATACGGTCATCCTATGTCATTGTGATGTCTGCAAATTGGTTGATCGAATAATGTCCCGTTTTGCCGTGCTCAAAAATCTCAAACATCTGATTGGTAGACACAACGACAGCGTATTTGGAACTGCAGGCACATCAGCTTCAAGAACGCGGGACACTTCCACAACGCCCGCTACCCCGTCCTCTGCCATGCCGCGAGGACGGTTCAAAACTGAGTGTGAAATTATTATCTGCGTTGTTTGACTGCTTCTTTGTTGTCTGTGTTAACCTAAGAACAACTTAGTTCCAGCGTGTTCTGAGTGGGCTTAAAAATCTTGTGTCGCCATGTACAAACATAACGACCGTAAGCCTGCACACATTGCGGGCGTCTGTCCTGTCATGTTCTGTCCAACAACCCAGAACTGGCTCAGCAAAATTGGAAGTGCATGGAATCAAATACTCAAAGGGATGCAGTACCCTGCAGTACCCTGCAGAACCCTGCAGTACTGTGCGGACCGCACTGCGCGGCGGTCCCATCGTTTTACTTGGGTCAGGATCGCAGCTCTCAGCTGATCGCGAGGTCCAAGCTTCGTGCGACGAACAACAGCCTTTGCGTAGAGAAACTTATGCACTTATGCATGCTGGAAAGAAGGAAGCTGACATAAAACAACATGAACGACTGCAGAACTTGACACGTTTTCCAACTTCTCGGCTACCACCTGCAAGGGATGGCTAAGGAGGGCAGCCCTCAAGGCACTTCTTTCAAGCAAGCCTGACCGATGTAATTCTTGCATAGCGTCCAGTGGATGCACACTTCACTTCGCCATCTTTACCCGTGCTCATGGGTGCAGTTGACACCTGACACTTAGAAACTTTGATGGACGAGCAGCGAGGCGGCACTCACGACAAAGGCACCCAGCATCGCCAGCGCAAATCTCCTCGCAAAGCTCGAGAACATGATGACCCAAATGATGCTCCACTGGTACTGGTAGTCGCGATACCCCGTTGCCGCCAATGCTTGTTGCAGATGCAGCGCCTGAACCCCTGCCGCTGCCAGCTGTGCAGTTCTGCAACCGGGTCCTGCAAGCGACAAGGTGCAGCAACAGACGTCAGAGACCTCTGATAAAATGCGGCACATGAGGTGTGACGCGATGTGACGCGATGTGACGCGACTTAAGGTTCAGACTTTGTTTAGAGGCGTCAGCCAGTTTTCGTCCTCCAGCCAATGGAAGAAGATCGGGTGCTCGCTGACCATCTGCACAAAGACGCTGCGCAGCAGAAAAAAAGAGAAAACGAGGTCAAGCCAGGAACCCGGATGATCCTAACTCTACCAGATGCCAGGTTTAAGGTAGAAAAGCTTTATGGGTGAAAACTAGCCGTCCCCCATCACACACACCTCCATCACCCGATCTCGCGCCCCACCCACATAGTCCCGCCCTGCTGTCGTCGCCTGTGACACCTCTGTCACGCCCCCGTCCAACGCCTCTCCACCAGCGCCCGTCCAAATCCTGCCCAACACCTGTCCAACGCTGATCAGTGCCTTTTCAACCAACATGCACCATCATGCACCCATCCAACACCCACCGCCTTCTTTGATAAGACTTCGCACCCTTTGCCGTGTCAAGTCACACCCTGATCTCGCACCTCTCCTGCTTGCCAGCCTCCAGTACACCCTGCCACTACCCAGCACATCCCCATCTCGCGCCCCCTCCCCCCCCCCCCACCCAGCGCCTTGAACTTGCTGGCCGCCTGGAGCACAGCCAGCCTGCAAGGGAGGCGTCTTCTTACGAGCACGTGAACAGTGAATGGATCTTGCGCGCAGGTGTACCACAGATGGCCTGTAGAAGGGCACGTCTGTGTTTTCCATGAGCCTCAGGCCACCTTTGCGCGCTGCTTTCTACATGCTGTTGCTTATGACAAGAGTTCGCTCTGCCAACTCAGGTACTGATGATGTTGCGCTTTTTGGGTGGGCCCACCAAGTATGGGGTTCGCTCACATCTGTGCACTAAGAGTCAACTCTGGGGCGCCCATGGCGATCTTGGGTACATGTGGATGAAATGGCCTGGAGTCTTCGTCGCAACTACAGCTACGAAGTCTCTGACACTCCTTTGGCTTCCTGGTAACCTTTTCAGGTGGCGAAGGGCCTGGCACCTGCCCTGATCCATGGCCCCTGCTTTTGGCTCGCCGGCTCCCTGCATCGCCGCAGGTGAAGTTGCTGCCATCCTGAGAGGAGACGGGCCCACAGAGACGTTCCGACGGCCACTCCGACGGCCACTGCACTCTCTCACAGTCCGGATGCGTATAGCTAGAAGCTGCCAGCCACAAGCTTATACGGCAGCTACCATTTCTGGTCACTGCCGCTGACTCACTAGTGAAGACCCCCCAGGCCTCTGCACAACAGTTCTTCCTTAATTGGCAACGAGTGGAAGCTGGCAGGCCACAAGGTAACCACTTGCAGGCCGTGAAGCTGAATCTTTACAGCAAGGGATCTTGCGTTGTGGGTATGCTGCTTGTAGATGCATGTCTGTCGGCATGCACTGCAAGATTGCACCCTGTGAAACAAAACCCTACGCATCCACTGCAGCCCAGCAGCCCGACGGCCCAGAAATCCTGGCCGCAAGGCTCCCCTGGCAACAGGCAAAAGCAGAACGCTCAACAAAAGAAACAATACGAACCGAGCGGATCCCCTTGGCCAGCAGCTAGATCTAAGGAATCTCAGGCTGTCGCGACACAGCTTGTTCTTAATCGGTGCCACACAATACCTGAGCATTCGCTTCCGATGGTGGGGTGCAGACAAACCCCTGGCAGGTACTGGAGGTTTGAGAAGGAAACATGAGCCCACGAATGGCTGGCCACTGGAAAGTTAAAACGTCGGTTTGAAGATGATCTTTGGTTTGTCGAGCTGGTCTCAGGCAGGAATGCAATGGATCTGGTGAATGCCGCCTCTGAAATACAAAAGACCTGGGACCCTTTCCAGCTGGACGGGTGCTGATGGGTGGGTATGGGTGGGCCTTCGTGGCCCTAGCAGCTGGCAGAGGTTCTTCAGTTTGCTGCTTCATGTCGTCACGACGTCTTCCTCAAGACAAAAGCATGAAAGTACCCTGAGAGTACCGACTCCGCCCATGGCGTCGCAGTTCGAATCCTGTGGCTTGATCCACGTGTCCTTTGACTGGAGTCACAACCCTGGGAACTGGAGTCTGCGATATCGTTTGTTGGGGGATACGGAAATGGCGTTGCACAGGGCATCACCTGGCCATGCGAATAATTGCGAGTAGAGAGTTGCCATGACTTGCCATTCCACTTGAGATACCCACACATCTGCCAGCTTGAAGCTGAAGGACCTCAGCACGCATGTGCGCAATCATGCGCAAACTTCTGCGGTTGACGCAAACCTTGCAGCACAAGATCAAGGACCTGTTGAGATCGAGTACCGTGTCGTGCTGGAAGTACACCTCCGGATGCAGCGAGACAGAGAGAGAGGAGAGAGAGAGAGAGAGGAAAAGAGATGGACAGAGAGAGAGACGAGAGAGACGAGAGAGACGAGAGAGACGAGAGAGACGAGAGAGACGAGAGAGACGAGAGAGACGAGAGAGACGAGAGAGAGACGAGAGAGACGAGAGAGACGAGAGAGACGAGAGAGACGAGAGAGACGAGAGAGACGAGAGAGACGAGAGAGAACGAGAGATGACAGGCGAGACAAAACCAGGCTGAAACAAATAGCTCAAGCAAAATGGTACCAGTAGCCAAATTGAGTACCGGCGAAGATCCCAAACAGACTGGACGGAAAGATCTGGGGGAAGCTTCGCACATCCTAATCACAGGCCCCCAGCTCCAGAACCAGATTCCCAGACAACATGGCAGAGGAGTGCTTTTGAGAACTCTGAGACAGTAACACCACCCTCCTAAAACAAAAAATCAAAGTATTTCTCATTGGGCGTCGTCCCTTCATAACCCGTCTTGCTGCCCATGTTTTTACATTCCAAGCACGTTACAACATCTTTCCTTCCCTCCTTTCGCACATGCTCCATATTCTCCATGTTCACCGTGTGGGAGCGCAAAGAGGGCAGAACGACTTCTAGCCGACTCACTGGCTCACTGACTCTCTCTCTCTCTTCTTCTACCCAGCGAAGAGGCCCCCCGAACGGAAGCCCCAGCCGCCCTGGCCCACTGCTCTGTCTTGTGGTGAAAGATGGGTTACCATACTTTGAAGGCCCCCATGATGGGTACGTGTGAAAGGAAGACTCTTCAATCCCACCTTCTCAGAAGTTGCCCCAGGTCTTGTAAAAGTGAAACCTTCAGCGGGTTCTGTCTCAGTCTCTTTCTTTCTTTCTTTGGGGCATAGGGTCTCAGTCTCTCTCTCTCTCTCTTTCTTTCTTTGGGGCATAGGGACGGACCTTGCGCCTAGGCGCGCCCCGATCCCGCGTCTCGCGAACCACTTCTGTCACAACATGCCGCCGCCCTGTTGGCGGCTCCGCGGCGCCTCCTTAGTGCCCTTATCCATTCCTTATCGGGCCAATCCCCCATAGTCGCCTAAGTGCCCGTATCCAGTCAACACCGGCCCCCTACCCCATCAGGCCCAATTCGACCCCCAGCCCTTACCCTGAACGCCCCAAGTCCCCCAGCAGCCTCGACTACCGTCCGAAAGCAACCTCCCCTCCCCCTTCCCTTCAAACCTTATCCCCTGGTTCTGCGGCACATGTGGAGGCTCTGTACTCTATACTCCGCGGATTTGCACCCCCTCCTACACTCCCCCTACCTCACTACCGCTGACAGATATATCATAACCCACGGGGAGGGAGTGCGTTGTGACTGAGCTACATCCTGGCCCCCAGCTGCAGTTCGGGGCTCATGCTATGTGACACGAGGCATGTAGTGGGACCCACTAACTTTCAAAGTTCTCCACAAACAAAGCCCCCTAGATAGACCCTTTGCCACCATCTACATCTAAAGCTACGAGCAGGCCCCCAACATGCGTCGTCGGCGGTGTTCATCGTCCGGCTCTTCTCCCTCCGGCGGTTCTTCCCTCACGCTCAGTAGGGCTTCTGGCTGTCGTAGCCCCCGTGTTAGCCGCCGATCTTGCCCCCGCTGGTTTCGGCTGCCTTGTCTCCACATCCATCAGGCTTGCTTCTCCCCCAGGGCGGTCACTGACCATCATCCCCTCCAAGTCGTCAGCGGCGATCTTCGGGTGTCCACTGTCTCTTTCGTGCCGCGGCGCCCCCTCTTCGTTGCCCCCTACAGCGGGCTCCATGGCGCTTGCTGCCGGTCCCAGGCTGGCTTGCCTTTTGTCATGATGACCCTCATTGGCTCAGCTGGCGAAAACTGGTCTCTTCGGTTTGTTTAGGCGTCTGGTTGCGGAGGGCCAGCCTCCCCAATGAGTTCTTCGCTGCTGTAAGCCTTTTGAGTGAATGTCCCAATCTGTCTGATGAAAAAAGTTCTGTGGCAGGCAAAAACGTGCTTGAATTAACGGCCCCCGCGTATCTGTTGCACGCAGACGGCGCACCTCGGGTTGGTTTGTTGGTAACATGCACCCCCCTTCTCCCTGCCCTGACTCAGGGGCCCACCCCTAATTGAGCTGTCTTCTACCGGGAGCCTGACGGCATCCTTGTTCCCGGGAGTGGGCCGGCTACGCAAACCCCGCCCCCCCCAACTCCCTTCACCCCCGCGTTAGCGGGAGTTATGGTGGGCTGGGACTTTAGGGCGCGCCCGTACACGACACCCCGCCAAGAACGTGCCCTCCCCGTTGCCGCCCGAACACCTGTTTTGAAGACGGCCATGGCCAGGCTGCAGCTTTAGCAGTCTAACAGCTAAAGTGCAACTTACAACATACCCACTGCGTGTCCTGGCAACGACTTGCAAGCCTGAGCACCCCTGAAATAGCACCCCCAACTCGAACTCGTCGCCCGAAACATGCGACAAACCCCCCAAAATTGAGCTCCCCTCTGTTGGCAGCCCCGGCTTGGACGGGGTGTTATCTCCGGTTTCGCTGGATAAGCAAGGCCCCGATCTGGCAATCCCTAGAGGTCACCCCAACATTGTGCCGTCCTCCCCCGGGTGTACGCTGCTTGAGCACTGGAGGCTGCACACTGGCTCAAGCCAGAAGAGAGAGGGCGGGCTTCTCTCCCCCGACTTGAGCCAAAATGGCTACTCTCTCTCTCTCTTTCTCTCCTTCTTGTGCTTCTTCTACGTACTTGAGGGCCCCCCGGCTGAGCGGGGGGAACCCGGCTGCGACGGCCAAGTGGTTCTCTCTCCGAGTGGAAACCCTCCTGTCCCCACCAGCTGCCTTGGTCCCTATGTTGGGGGTCGCTAAGTAGTTCGTGCCCAGGGCCCCCACAGTGTCGCCAAAAAAGTTCTTTCGTGATTGTTCTCTGGGACCTCCCTTGTGTCCACGCGCTGTTTTTTGTTGTGGTAGGCCTGCTCGAGCTCGTTCGTGTCGTTCTGGCAGTCCCCGGCTCCCGCTCTCGGTTGGTCCCCCTCTTGGTCGTGTGGTCCTCCATCTCCTCGTGGTCCATGTGAATCGGCCCTGTTGTCTCCCGTGGTCTCGTGGCTGCGGTGTTGCGTCTCCTGGGGTCGCGCTGGTGCCACATTCTTGCTGCCCACTCCATGTAGCTGAACGGAGCTGTGGCCGGCTGTGTTTGCAGCGGTACCCTGCCCGTGTGAACCATGTAGTTGAAGGGAACTGCAAGCGGCCGGCTGTTCGAGCCGCTATGCTTGTCTTCTTCTCTTGTCGGCCGCCAGGAGGAATTTGCTGTTTCGTTGCCTTCGCGTTGTCGCGCTGATTCAAAATGGATTCAAAGATCGGTCCCCATCGTACTGCTTGTTCGTGAGCTCGAAGGATCACTGCCATTGTACTGTGATCACTGTCACCGGGTCGTTGTTGTCTCTTTCTTTCTTTGGGGCTTGAGGTCGCACCCCCGCGTTGAGGTTTCTCTCTCTCTCTCTCTATCCACTTCTCTCCGTGCATCCGGCACATGGGGCCCGCGCCCTGCCGGCATCCCCGAAACGCCCGCCGCTGGTCGGCACCACCTCCAGCGGCTCAATAGACTCCAAGTGACTCCACATGTCTCCAAGTGACTCCACATGACTCCGAGTGCTATCACTCGAACTGCTCGTGTACTCGATGCGCCTGGCCATTTGGTAGTCGGGTTGACGAAGGATCCACCTGCATTCCGAGTCCATGGAACTTCTGTCACCTCTCTCCTACAGATTAATCTAACAATGAGATACCAGGTGAAAGCATTCAAAAAAACCCACAGCGGTCGGAAAGTATGCGGAGGCCTCTGTATAGGGCACCATTAGCTGGGCGGAGTAGCTTGGCTCCATGAAGCTGTAGAATGTGAAGTCCCCCATGCCCTTGGCAGGAAGCAACGGGAGGAATAGGTTGAACTTGCGACCTCGATCTCAGCTATCTCAGTGATCTCAGATCTCATTTTCTGAAAGCGCAACAGGCCACCCGCATGGAAGCCTGTGGTGCTCGAGGCCCTGTACATAATGACCAGCCTGTGCACTTCTGCTGTGATCTTCCGAACCGGAACCTAAACCTAAACCGTGTCTGCCCGTCTGCCCATGTCTAGCGTCTCTTCAGATTCCTCACCGTGGAGATGCAAGTGCCGGCTAACTTGGATGTTCCGTGCAAATTCGGTGTGAGACCAATGCGGAACGCGCTCTGCAACGAGCGCATCGCCACAATGTCGGTGAGACATTGGGTGAAAGAGCGGAGTTTGCTCTAGTGACACACTATGACACACAATGGCCGCTTCTTACTTCTTTGCATGTCATGGACACCTACTGATGTCGCTGGCGCATCGCAAGATTTACCTGTTTGTGAGTTTGGGCTCCGGAGACTTACCCAAACTCTAAATGCTAAAGATACCCCTTGAGTCATGGAGCCCTCATTTAACTCGACCATGGGGCTGAAGATGTGAAGATTAGCCCACCTCGGCCACATGCAACAGCCTGATGAACTTGAAGGAGCCTTTACTCGGCAAAGAGCGCCATTCCGCTTGGTTTCGGTTCAATTGCTTAAGTCGGAGTTCTTCTGGGCTCTTGGCTGCATCGAAAGCGAGCATCGCTTAAGACGCAGGCTCGCGTTACCAGCCGAGCTGGCATCAAGGACGTCGCCGTCTGTATCGCCTCGCTTGCAAACTCACATCAAACTGCGAGTACATCGTGAAACTCACAGCGGTTTCTGATCTGCTCTGCCGACATCCCGGAGCCTCGAAGCCGATCTCCTCAGGATCGACACCCAGCGACCCAAGCTTGCTCTCCTGGGGGAGACAATGGGAGACCCACACAGCCAGCATGCAGCGCACCCGATAAATCCCCAGAACACATGCTTCTGATTACCCCTGTTTCTGCATCGCTCTCCAGCTCTCTGCATCTCTCAAGCCAAGGCACGTAGACCCGGATCGTGTCGTTGTATTGCTTCGTTGCCTGGTGAACCTTTGCCGCCGGCGAGGAACGCATTGCAATGGCACATGCGCGTGAAATGAACGGCCAAGCATGCGATGATATACCATGCCTGGTACTGGAGGTCCTTGATTTGCCGGTTCTTGGCACCGAGGACTTGCTCCAACCTGGCATTCGCCATCACTCACCCGAAAGACTCTGCCACTCTGCACCTCGGCTGATAGCCACACATTGGGTGGCTCAGGTCGCAGGTCGCTAACGCGAAGCGAGCCGACGCCACTTCTTCGTGACGTTGCCAACAATAGTCGGATCCAGGCGGGCGTTTGTCAGCACTTCTGTGAGCTGCGCTTGCTTCCTGACCAGATAGGAAGGCGCTGTCAAAGTCCCACAACACACTCGCAGAACACAAAACACAAACATACACAAACCAAATCCAATGCATTCCCAGGTGCTCGTCGAATTGCTGCGAAAGCGTTTCGAGCTTCTTCTCCAGGACGACATTCTTTCCGAGCTCGGCCTGGCCGCGTGCGAAGCCAATGCCAAGAGCGGACGCCAGGCCAAGCCCCATGTCAAGTCCCGGACCTTGCGCTGGATTTCTTGCACAGCCTTCTTGAAACGCTTGTACAAGTCCTTAGCTCCATCAGGCTCCATCGTTTGAAGTTAACAAACACCTTCTGAATAGCCCCTGTACACCCCCGAGCCCCGTATCGTCTCAAAAACGAAGAGAATTCCGTCCACCGGCATGAAACAAAGCTGGGCCGATGGCATCCCGTTCCTTCTCCATCTTCCGGTACTTGTCCTGCACAGCAGGTACCCTAAACCCTAAACCCTAAACCCTAAACCCCATACCCTAAACCCTAAACCCTAAACCCTAGCACGATCTTGGATGGGACTTGCGTGCGGCCGCATACAAGCCAAGGTACAGTAAGGCCGCGTCATGTTACTTTCAGGCTCGACTTGCTTTAAACTTTAAACATGGCAGCCTGAGCTCAGGCGTTGAATAAAAGCTCAGGTATGGAATCAAAGCGTCTTTACAGGTCTCCAATCATCGGCTTCACCTGCTTTGCCTCTCAGCTGCTCAAAGCTCAACATGGTCAAAGGGGATGTCCGGGTTTGCCATTGGAGGACCAGGAGCACGGGGCAAAGTCATGAAAGTCTCAGGGATCTGACGGTTGAGGTTGCCATCGGGAGGCTGGTCTTCTAAGGCCAGCGGAGGGAACCATTGGCCTGTTTCCATTCCAAAGATTGTTCAGCACGTCGGCTGATCGCAAGAAGATTGGGGCGAGTGCGCTCCTTCTACCGCTGCCGGTTATCAGCCTGTTTCTTGTCTTGCCTGTACTTCTCCCAGAGTTCTTCAACTGCGAGAACAGAGGCCGAAGGTCTCGAAGGCGACTTGGAACTAGCTCTCGATCTCGCCTAAGCCAGCGCCATGTGCTTCCGTCCAAGTTGGCCCAACTCCTGCTTTCAACAGCGCAAAGTCAAGGGCTTTCGACAGCCGTTATTCGGATCGCAGTCAATGCCCTGCAGGCATGGCTGCGTTGTGGTTACCTCCGTGCAAAGCTGCGATGGCCAGCGCGGCAGCATCATCAGATCAGTGCGTTCCGGAGCCCGGAAACGTACCATGCAGAGCCCGTCCCCCACCTCCACAATCCCAATGCTTGCTGCCAAAGCCGTGCTGGGTGTTTAACAAGGTTCCACCAGTATACAAGCGTGTACACTGTACACCAAGGTGTTTCAAGGGCATTCAACCGTCACTCTTGATAAAAGCTGCATCCCTTCAAGCCTCGCAAGTCCGGTACTCCTGCTTGGCTTCGGTGATTTGCTCCTTCCGCAGCACAAGCTTGTAAACAACTTGTAAACATCTACGGCGCGGTCGTGGCAAATGCTGCGGCTGACGCAGCGGGGTCCTCAAGCTTCTTGAAGTGCGCCTTCAGATTCTTCAGGGCCATCTTGTCCTGGCAGTCTCGGGTGCACGAGCGCCAGTCTCAGCGCACGAGTCCAGGGCTTTCTACACGGCTGTCCTTGGTATAAGTTTTCAGCTCTTCTTCTAACGCTCGCTGCTCGGCCAGCTTTTCCTGCGAGCGCACAACACCCCACACCTGTTCACACCTCTTAGCAGCAAGTGGCACCACCCGTGTCCCCAAAGCCTCCCTAAACTCCCAACACAAGGCAGGGAAGGATCCTCCAGAGGCCGCGTGAGGTCCCGGTTCTCCTGACACCGGAATCAGCAGGAATCGGAATACTTCGCTTGAGGGGACTCTCTTTCGACCCAAACCTGGCGGAGCAGATCCATCTTCTTTTTATTCGTCTTCTCCTGGGCATACGACACGTACGACAGCAGCTCTGCGAGACGACTGCAATCTGCATTAGGCCGCCCTGGGCCACCGCTCCCTTGCTGCAATTCACCGAATAAGGATACAGCCTTCTCTTTCATCTCGAAGATCTCGTCCTGGCTTCGCGGCTTCGCGGCTTCGCGGCTTCGCGGCTTCGCGGCTTTTTTTAAACGATCTTGCAGCATGTTGGCGCAATCGCTGCTCTTCTGGCTCGCGAGCCTTCAAGGACTTGATCAACTGCAGGTTGTCATGGGTGATGTCATTGTAGTAAGCCTTCGCATGGACAACTCATCCTCGCCTACTGGAATGTTGCAGAAGCTTCGACCATTCGTCAAGTGGGCACCTTGATCTCATCAAAAGCCTCCTGGTGGTTGAAAAGCAACTCGTTGATGTGCCTTGGGATACAGGATGTGAAACAGTGGCCCAGGTCCTTGGTCTCCTCTCCCTACAGTAGGAAACGGGGCCCGTGCTGATTCTTGCGCTCCTCGATCTCGTGGATCTCCACCTGCCACACAGCTGTAGCTCTCGACACATGCAACACATCCAGCACCAAGCAGGTCCACATGGGCACCTTTCGGCGCAGCTCGAGATCAATCTTCAGCTGCTCCACCTGCTCCTCGTACTGAGCCTGTCAATTCAGATAATATGCTATGGCTGCTATGGCACGTGTATCTTGGAACATCTCGTGACCTGAAGCTGCTGATGATTCTGCTCGAAGGTGTCGCGAAGGTTCTGCAGTCTTTTCGCGAAGCCCTGGCCACGACGAGCTTCCAACTCACGCAGCATGGACGCCGCAAGAAGCACCAGCCTGCAGCATCATCTTCACCTCGCAGAAACACGATTCAAGGAACCAAAAACACACGTACACGCACATGCAAGGGGAGGCTTGTTCGGTACTAGGCATCACTTTGGTGCGGCAACTGTGCTGTCCACCTGCAGTAGTAGGTCCTTGCTCATATCCCATTATCGCCCTCCCCTCCCCCCTCCTCCTTGCACTCACACGTGGCAGACATCGAAGAGGTCACATTACATAATGTTACCTACCTTGTGGAAAGAGTGGCCAAGGCTCTAAAGTATAGTCTGTATGCCACCATCCCCTCAAACCACACTCTTTGGAGGTGCAGGCACTTGGGCAGCCCTTCGCCCACCCAAAACAATTGGTCCAAGGCGACGAGTGTACAGACCGGCAGACCGGCCAAGCAAACGCACTTGGAACGCACACACACACAAACACACACACACACACACACACACACACACACACACACACACACACACACACACACACACACACACACACACACACACACACCCGCACACACACACACACACACACACACACACACACACACACACACACACACACACACACACACACACACACACACACAGACACACACACACGCACACACATATATATATATATATATATATATACATATATATACATATTTATATATACATATATATATACATATATACATATATACATATATACATATATATATATACATATATATATATATATATACTAGGTGAAATAGATAGACTGAATCATCATGGCCTCTCCCTACTTCAGCAAAGTCGAAGAAGATGTCAAAAGCCAAAACGCAAACCAGGCTAGCACCCCGATGAGACCTCGTCCTCGTTCTCCAGCTGCGTTTCCCGGATGTCTCGCTTGAGCTCCAGCTTCTCCTCTGAGAAATCAGAAATTCTAAGAGAATTTCCCCCACCCATAGCAACTTATCCATCTTTCTCTTCATTTCCTGTGCGAGCGGAAGGCGTGGCCTGGACTGAAGTATCTTGCGCATCTTGCGCCGGTTGCGCCGAGAGACAGGTTCTGCCGCCTGTGTTCGTGCTGTTTGGGCCAGCCGCGCCGGTTGCGCCGACTGTGCAATGATGCTGGACAGCTTATCTCGCCGCGCTCGTTGCGGCTGTACCGATTTTGGCCGATGGTGCCCGACAGCACCTACATCGCGCCGGCTGTGCGCTTTGCACCGATTTCGTCGGTCGTGTAAGTTGCCCCGATTTCGCCGATTTCGCCGATTGCGCTGCTTGTGCCGACTGTTCCCACCAAAAATTTCTACACATTCTAAATCCTTGCTCTTATTCGTCTCGGGCTTCGAGTACCGTTCCTCCATCCCTTGAGGGCTCTTCCAACACGCAAGATCACGCAAGGGTACTCGAGCATTCCGGGGCATTGGGGCAAGTTCTTCTGCTTTGCAGCATGCCCTGTCCGCCCTCTTTGCTTCTCGATCTTCTCGGCTCCTTGTTCATGTTGAGGAGCTGCTCCGAGTGTAGGTCGCGCCTTCACTTGCGGACGCAGTTTGCAGACGCAGTTTGCAGAAACTGGCTCCCTCAGAGCAGGTTCTGCTCGTTGCGGCCGAGCCACGCTTTTTGCAGGTCCATGTCTCCATTCTCATGCACCTGCCGCTTTGCCTCCTTGTGCTCATACTCCAGGTTCTGCACCTGGAGATGTCGGGGCATGTCAAGGGACAGAGGGCTTGTATCATCTTGTATCTAACAGCACTTCCTGCATGGTGACTGGGCGCCTTTTGCTCGTGGACCTTGATGTGTACACGGAAATCACGCTCGAGGATCTCCATCTTTCCTCAAACTATCTGCGGCGCATTGCACGAGTATACCGAGTATACAGGAAAGTGTTCAGGAAAGCGATGAAGACATGTGCAAACATGTGCTGACATGTGTAGGCCAGGTACGGTCCATGTTCAAGAGCTCAGCCTCCACTTGCTTCACCTCAGACTTGGTGATCTCGTAGAACCTGCCGCACATGCCGTGTGTGCCACGCCTGCATGCGCGTGCCGCGTGCATGCGCGTGCCGCACATGCCGCACGCTGGCGATACTCCGGTGGCACTAGCGTACATCTGTATGTGGGCGGCGGGGGTACCAGGAGACTTAGGTGCACTTGCGATTCGCCTCGGCCCTTGGCCAAGTGTGCAGAGGTCTTCACAGTGCTAATGGTGAAACAGAAGGATCGGATGGTCTGAGAGTCTTCAGTTGCGCGCGACCAAACAAATCCAGCCTGTTGACCATGTCCTTACAGTTCGGCGACAATTCATGCAGCAGGTCCACAAAACCGCGTGAAGGTCCGTATATGAATCTGTTGCCTTATGACGCACATGGAAAGAAGATCATTGGGATCATCGAGCCCAGGATCTTTCTCCAGCTGCATGTAATTTCTGTCCTTTGCCGCCTCGCATAGCATGAAGATCCAAACAAAAAATCCGTGCCCATCTTAGGTTACATTGCACATCATCACACAAGCACATCATGCCGCAGAAAATTGCAGCACCTTGCTGAGGCGGTACTGGAAGGCATCGATTCGATCTCTGAGGTTCGGAATCGTCAGCTCCTGGACACGAAGCTGACATATGAGCCGTTTCAACACACAAAGCCACAAAGCTCAACACGAGCTGTGCCTTGAGATCAGCCGGGATCTCCTCTACCGGCTCTGGTGCTGCTGCCTTCTTCTTCCTTAGACATCGACTCCGCATTTCAACGACCACTTCGCTAAAAGGGTTTAGGGACGACGCACCAAACAGGTGTCCACCGAGGGCTCCCCATTTACCCCTACAGGAGCTTCAATGGGCCGTGTCTTAGAACTACCATACTTGTCCCTAGCCTGACAAAACGCACTCAAGCTCCAAGCTTCTTTTGAATTGCAAAACTGACGTATGACAAACTTGTTGTTTTCTCCAGGGACATTTCTGAAACGCCCTTCAGATCTTGTTTTGCAAACCATGCCGGGATGCTTATGCACCGACGCCTGTTTCGGTGGGTCCTGAACCCAGATAGCTCCCATCAAGTGCCGAGGCTCTGGCAAGAACCCGGATGAACCACAAAGCTAAGCTAACGCTAAGCAACAATTATTCTGACAAGCCTTGGAACCAATCCGAAACCCAAACCACTTGAGCACCCTACGGTGAAACAAGATCGCCAAGGAGCCAACTCCGCTCATTAAGACCAAAAAGTTACGACTCTTCCAGCCCGCTCAAAAAGCGGTTGAGAGCATGCCAAGCACACAAAAGGACATCCCTGAAAAACAGTCGCAGCGATCTACTCTGCTGGCTCTCTGGTGGCTTTCTGAGCCTGTTTGGGTTCAAGTGGATTTCCTGATTGTCCGGTTTAGGATGTCTTCAAAACTCGGTTTCAGGCAAATGCCCAGTTTCTCATTTTCAAAGACTTAAGTAGCCATTACGGCCGTGGATCCTGAATGAACAGCCGTTCCGCCCTGCACACTTAATGCCTCAACTAGTCTGCTCTTTTCAAACGAAGTTTATGTGTTAGGGCGGTGCAAACACAAAGACGCCTGTGAACCAAGCCCAGATGCTTGCCCTTCTTCCCCATGGCGAAAGAGGAGAGCCCGGCCCCTTTTGAGCCGGAAACGCTATGGGAGGAATCAGAAGTGAATTGAAGCTCTGAGGAGTGTAGGAGTAGGGTGCAGATGTGAAACACTGCTTCCTTCGCTGCAGAGTACAGGCGAGAGCGGAAACGGAGTGCCGTGGCCGGCACCCACCCCACCAGCGCCGCCAGCAAGCAGGTGACAGCGAGGTAGCCAGGGTAGAACCTTAAACAAACAGACAACAATGCAAGCGAACACTATGCGCCCCAGATTGCCTTTGACGCAGATGCCCGCAATCTCTGCCATCGCAAGCCAAGCTGCCCTTCGGCGACGCCTGGGGCACCGCATGGGTGCAAGAATCTTATGTTGGGTGAGCTACGGCATCACGTGTGTGGGAGCATCGGGAACTCTTGTAGTCAAATAGTATCCCTTGGGATGATATGGGGCCAGCTATGCGAAGCTGCTCCGACCAGATATGGAAGGAGCGGAAAGGAGGCTCGCGCGGCGCCTCGCTTCCACAAGCGCCAGGCCCAGAAGACGCGCTGAACGCACCTTTGCCACATCCAGTGAACCCCAGCGAAATCCAGCGAATCGACACATCACCTCGCTGCTGCCCTGTGCAGTGTGATTCATCTTCCAGAAAGACCCTGAGCTGAGCGAACCCACACTGCCACGACCAACAGTTCGGCCAGCCTGGAGCAAATTCAGAACGGCACCCAACATCGCACTACCGTATATGCGGGCATTCATGCTGGCTTCTGGCTAGCGGGCGTAGTGGTCAGAGGCATATGTAAGTGGAAGAAGAAGCCAGCCTCACAAACTTGGGCAAGAGATGGTAGCTGACACCCTTGTCGAAGCCACTGAACTTGTGCAAAAACTTGTTCGAGACCCACGCCAACGTGAAACAGAGCACGAAAACTGCCCACCTTAGCGGTATGTCACATGTCGGGGTACGAGTCATGGTGGATTCATGGCCAATGCGGCCACTCCAAAGAACATGCGCAGGCTCAGAATATTCAGAGCTGCGATGCCGCTCTCTGAATCTCTCCAGTTAAGGCCGCTGCGGCAGAAGGAGCGCCAAAAGAATGGGCATGCCTGGTCTTGCACTCGGCGAATCCAAAACCAGAGAGTTGCAAAATGCCTAAGGACATCTCTTGCAGTGATTGACGCAAAGTCTAAGGTCCGTGCAGTTTACACGCCGCCGACGCTTCGACATCGCCACCCTAGTGCCAGAAGCAAACTGCAGCTCCCCGAAACTCCTTGAACCTATACTTGGAGAAAGCTCGGCCGATGTTTGGTGTTTGTTGTTGCATGGGCCCATGGGTAGATGTGTTCAGAGAAGAGCCTACGGAAACGAGTTGAAAGCTTCAGCTGTCGATGCCTCGCTGCTTCAGCATCATGGCTGAGCTGGTCGTTCAGCAAGGCGCCATACAGCTTCTTCTCGCCTTCCCATAGATACAATCATGAAACAGCGATGAACCTGCACGCCTGGGAAGTCTCGGATGCACCTGAACTGATACTGTAGCACGCTGCCACATGATGTGCAGCACTAAAGACATCGTGCCGCTCAGCAACATGCAGCTGCAACATGTTGAACATGCTGCAGCCCACTGCGACCTTTAGCAAACATCCGGCCTGCGCTTTGCGAGATGTTGCTGCCCTGAGCGGCAATACAACGAAGAAGCTTTCCCTCCCTGCCGCTCCTGGTTGCTTTCTGCTTTCTCTGCCGGCTTTCGCGATACGACGAGCCATGACGCTCTCTTTCCTCTCTATGTCCTCTTGTGCTGCGGGCAGCGCCTGCAAATTGCCCAGCCCGGGCCTCAAAGCCGAGCGCAAGCTCTGACTCTCTCGATCCGTCTTCCATAAATGGCGTAAAAACAGTTGGGCCGGTTTTCCCGGTATAGGCTGCTGGCATCGCTGCATTGGATTGAGGGAAGCCCCTCTTCGGAGAGCCAACGACAAGGCGACACAAAGCTATGGCCACGTATATGAAGAATGCCGAAAAGACCTGGACAGCCTCGTGTAGCACAGCATTTTCTCTTTTCTCTCTGTCTCTCTCGGAATGCCGAGTTAAATGGCCACGGCGCCTCTGTACTCTACACCCCTGGACTCTTGCACCTAAGAGACTGCTCCATGCGGCTCCGTGCTGCGGCTCATACAGGCCACAACGAACTGTACAACTTTCCAACGCTAGCCGCAAGCCAGCAGAAACTGCTGCTATACATGATTGATGTAAATCATCGATGTGAAGTGTACATCTGTACAGGAGAGAGACAAGGAACATTACAGAAACTGCGTGGCCTATCTGTGCATGCTGACTCTTCGCAAGCACGCCATGTTCATGGCCGCGACCTAAGGTCATACCGTCATACCGCAAAGTGCGAACACTGTCGTCTTCTCACAGGCTATCACAGTCTTCACTCAGCCTCCCACCAAGCTCAAGGCGGCGCAGATGTAGAAAAAAGGGTCATAAGAGCTTTGCAGCTCCGTGCCGTCGTCTTGGCTTGCCAAGGAGAGGTAATACGCAGCTGCCTGAGTCTCAGTCATTTTGGGATACCACCCACGAGATCCGTCAATCCGTCAAGGCACAGGTCCCAGCGCGAAGCCGAGGCCTCGAGCAGGCCCTGCCGCTGCAAAAACCGCCTTAGAGTTGCTTTTTGCTCAGTTGACGAGCAAAAAATCAAAGACCGACAGAATCAAAGACCGACACGCTCGCGACACGAGCTTGTGCTTGAGACGCAACTCCCCATGTCGTGATCCAAGGCACTGGGAGATCTGCAGGGCCATAGAGTTGAAGCAGCCTGGGGACAGGACTCCAAGACGAAGCGAGACGTGTCAGAAAGTGTCAGAAAGCAGCACACTCAGAACGCTAGCTCAATGCCAAGTCGCACCAGAGGATTCAGGCAGAGCATGCCTGCCTCACTTTGAGGCTAAAGCTGCAGCCCTCACAGTCTGCTCGCAATTTTGCGATTCCAGAGAAAAAGAGAGAAAGAGAGAGGGAGGGAGAGAGAGAGAGATATATACATATATCTTGACATATAAACATAGCTATAACTAATCTCTTTTACAGATAGAGAGAGTGAGAGAGGCAGAGAGAGGGAGAGATGGATTTAAGTCGATAGCGATACCTTGAAGAAATATCATTATTGAAGAAGCCCAGGGACGAAAATGGCGCCGGCCATGGATTTTGCAGCAAGCAGCCACCACACAGGAAGGTGGGCGATGATGAGGGGAAAAGCTGCATAAAGGACAGAGTTAAGTAGCAGCATGATGCCGAGCACCAAGAATATCGGGACAGCTCGGCTGATGAGAGGGAATAGCATACGAGTCAAAACAAAAAGAACCATGCTGAGACTTGCGAGGTACGCCGAATGCAAGAAGGAGGTACCTGTCAGGAGCCGTGCACATGGGAAGTATCCTTCACAGACTGTCTCACAAAGCCTCACAAAGCCTCACATACCTGACAACCAGCAAATTGCCAGCAAAACAGCAGCAGATGAAAATCAGCAGCAAATGCACACAGGATTGCACCAGATACCATAAGCGGCTTCGAAGATGGAGGTCAGGAGCAGCTTTATTCCAAAGCCGCTAAAAGGAACCAGAAACTGATGCATCGCAATGTGCCAGAAGCCCGCAGATCGTATCAGTGTGCCCAAAGTCGCTCGAGATGCTGGAGACCTCAGCACTGGCGAACGCGGCCAACCATTTCAGAAGGGTGGAGCGGTGTTTTGCGAACATTCCTTTTTTGGCGAGTTTTTGTCGGGGCGTTGGGGGGGTGAGGGGGGGGGGGGTTGGAAAAACCTCTATGTTCTTTACGAGGAAAACCTCTTTTTTTGACTTTTCGGAGCTCTATGTTTCTTACGAGGAAAACCTCTGCGTCCCTGGTTTCCCTAGGAGAAACTTTATTGCCTCTGTGTTTTTTCGGGATTTGCAAAAATTTGGGAAATTTCCTTGGTTCTCCTTAGGGACAACTCTATTCCCCTGTATTGAAATCGGTTTTTCCTAGAAAAAACTCTCTTGCTTCTGTAGCTTAATAAGATTCCTACTAATTGTCATGGGAGTTCCAGTAATTTGTCAAGTCCTCTTGTTTTTGACAGGTAAAATCGGGTGATAGGATTCCGACGTTTGTTAAAGCAAGTTCTCTTCTATGAAATTTAAAAAGTGAAGGGGTTGCGGGGGCGCAGACCCGAGGTTGCAAACACGATGCTCGCAGGACGGGTATGGAATGGTAATCATAATAATCATAATACTATTCCTGCGTCCATTTATTTCTTTCTTTCGCTTCTGTTTCGGTTCGTGCTTTCTTCACTTGTCTCTTTCTTTCTTGCTGTCCTTCGTTCTTTATTTCATTCTTCTATATGTATTTCTTTCGTCTTTATTTTCGTCTCTGTTCCGGTCCTTCCTTTCTTTCTTTCTTCCTTCCTTCTTTCTTTCTTTCCGTCCTCTTCCTCGATCCTCCCCAGCCCCATGCCCTCTCTCTTCGGGAACGTAGAGGCTTTCCTAGTAACTTTCTTCCTCAGGAAACATAGAGGTTTTCCTTCCACATATAGAGAGAGGAGAATTTGCAAAACATAACCAAAAGTAAAGTTCTCGAAAGAATACACCTTCCGTTTAAAAGTTTGATACTGTGCAATATGGCAAAATGCAGTCAGCAGACCCTGCCGGCAGTGATTCTGAGGCTCGTTGAATTCCATGCGTTGTTGTCAAATCTGCTGCCGGCGGGCCAAGTTCACCTGTCCAGGAAAAGTGTTCACCTCCCTAGTCAAACGTATCACTGAATCACTATCACTGAATCACTCTTTTCCCTGCATATGGAAGCTGCATGGCTCATCGTCTTGTCCCTCTGCTTGAGGCTCCGAAGGTCCCGCCCCGACGGGCACATGGAACGTGAGTCGGAGTGATGCTGTCCCCACGTCTGCTTTAACTTGGTGCACCGACACTCTTGAAAAGTTACCTGCGTGCCGCGTCCTTGATTTCAGGGACCGGTGCAGAGAAATACAGCCAAAGGAAAGTAAAGAGATGGCATCCGCGGATCTTGGACCTCTGGGTCCCTGGGTATGATCGAGTGCAAACGGCACCTGACACAAAGTCACAAAGTGCTGTCACTGCGCCCCCAAAAGCGCGACCCCACGGATAGATGCAGAACTAAACCAACACAGCACTAAGGGGGACATGGCAGATAGTATGGGGGTTTCCGAAATTGGGGTACCTTATCAAGGTCCGCAACGAACAAGGGGATCCTCTATTTGGGGATCTAAATTGGGGTCCCCCATTTTCGAGATGTCAACCTCAATAGCAGAGGCTGCCAATATCACCCTGCTAGGCTTGACTGCATTGTTTGGGCGCATCTAATTCGGCCAACTGGGGCAGTTATAGAATTGAGTGACATTCAAGACATGCAGTGAACTTCCAACTTTATGGTTCAAAAGCGTCTGGGTTGCGTGGAAGGAACGGAAGGCACGAGCTAAATCAGGGTCATTGTGCACTTGATTGCACTTGGCTATTTTGGCCAAAATGTGGAGCCAGCATGAGCCAGCGTCGTGGCTTGGCTTGAGGTCAAAGCTGCCGACTCTTTCACGTCTGGGTAACTCTATGGTGTGCTTTTGGGAGCTTACGTAGTGAAGGAGAGGTGCTTGTCTGCGTCCGGGTTGGTGCACCTACTTGGGGGAGAGATGGATAGAGGTTCATCGAAGGTTCCAGGGCTCCACTCGATGTTACATACTTCGTACCCCCCCCCCTCGTGAGAAAGACATTGGCCCCTCCTCCGTCTCTCTCTCTCTCTCTCTCTCTCTCTCTCTCTCTCTCTCTCTCGTTCCTTCTACCATGTTCCCCACCTCGGCATGCAAGAAGCAGTGGATAGAGATTCATGACTGCCAGGAAGCAAACTTCGGAGTAGGCTGCTCCAGCAAGGCCCCAGGAACTGCCGCTGATGCCCAACAGCAAGGAGATGACAACCATCCTAAGTAGAACTGGTGAAAACATCAAGCCAGACGAAATGCACCTGCACGCACAGCACAGCTTACAGTTCATCGCAGTCTTCGCTGGCATTGTAGCATACAGCAACATACGGGCAGCATGCCGCAGCATACACCAACAGTGTCACACCAAGGCACAAGCTGGCCATCAGGGCTCCCTGGAAGGCGAGGCCCAAATTTTGCCTGCCGTCAATGGCCCACCACTGCAGGACGACGACCTGCAGAAGTGCCGCGGGACAAAATCTCTTGGAGAGCAGCCTCAACGAGGCCAAGCCAGGCTTGTCAACCTCCGAACCCTGCAGCACAACAGATCACAACAGAACTTACAGATAACGTCGAGGCGTGAAACTCACCTCTGCGTTAGGGCCCCATGCTTAATCAAGAACCGGCCACTGCCTGCGTGTATTCCAAAGAGCAGGCTACGCCGACAGAAGCCAAGGCAGCACCAACATATTGAAGCCTCAGCAACGGCACTTAGCAGACTTCAACAGGAGGTTAGATTTCCTCACGGCTATTCCAAAAACAGTTGAGACAATCACGCACCAAACTTCAGCGAGCAGCCAGAACATGCCTTCCAATGAACTCAGGCCGATTGACAGCGGGCTCGCCTGTGCGGCTTCGTAAGACGAAACAGCATCCCCTTGTGCTTCAGCTAGTAGCATTGCAGAATATTGCACAGCAATGCCCCAACACCACCAACTTCAAGGCTCCATACCAACAGCAACCAGCAGCCAGATTTGCAGCGGTTTCAGCTTCTTGGACATACCTTTTTTGCAGCCAAGCACGCCAGCTCCAGAACCCCTACAAATTCTAGCAGAACTGTGCTTCATCCACCCACTGCCGCAGCGCGCGAAATGTCAGTGAACAAAGAAAGCTTCAGACCCAATGCAAACTCCCAAGTACCGCCAGTCAGGGGCAGCACTACCACTTGTGCCAGAAAGTGTGTCACCGCGGGTACGGTGACTCCTTGGATTGCTACTGGATTGTGCATGTCATGAAGGTGCAGAGTCAAAAACGTGAGAGCACGAACAACAAAGCACCCAGCAGAGGACAGCCGTCTTCTGCCGATGTGGAGAGACGTTCCCACTGTGCCAAGAAACCAGGTGCCAGCCACTTCAGGTGCGCTGGTGTGTGCTGGTTCATCAGATGTGCAAGCGGCGACATTCCGAATATGCCACTGATTGCACCAAACATACCTCACCCCGCGGGAATACAGCAGAAGCCTGGTGAAGGAATGTGAGTGATGTTTCCAACCAAGTCGCAAACGGATGCCAGTGTGTTCTTCCAGCGTAAAGCATCCAGCTCGCGGCGTGGGAGGCCTCCCTTCGGTTGCTTCGCGTCAGATTGACCGCCATCAGGTTCTGGCAGCGCCATGCCCACAACCTCTGGAGATTCCCCAGACCTTTGAAGCGAAAGAAAGCGCCTCTATCCTCCCCTCCTGCAATCTCCTGGAGCCACTGTGCGAGCGATGATGTATCCTGCGGGTAGACCGTGCATCCACAAGAATGAATGCTGTAGAGGTTATCGCTGACCAATATCCTGCTTCCATGTTGCCTGTGACTCGCTCTCTCTCTCTCTCTCTCCCCCTCTCTCTCCCTCATGTATGATGCGGTTGTTCAATCACTTGTGCCCCATCCTCAACTGCGTCAGGTTTTCAGGACTCGCGCAGCATGAGCGATCATCATGACTTTCACTGCCAGTCTTTGGAGGAAGAAGGCATGGAAAGGGAACGATGTCCACAAAGGACACAAAAACAAGACTGCTCAGATTATGGGCTTCGTGACAGCACGTTTGGCCGTCAACAAGCCCCTGACCGGTTCTGAGTCGCGCCACAGGTGCACAGCAAGGAAGCACATTCTTGGCATCTTGCAACCCGCTGACGTGGCTGGAAAACAATATTGTGGCTGTTACTACTAAAATGTCAATGGCTGTTATTCTTTCTAGTACTGTTATTGTCATGGGGGAGGCCGAGTCGCAGAAGCAGCTCAGACAGTTGACGCAGCGGCGCCGGACACGGCGGGGGTCAAGCAGGAGAAGGCCTGGTGAAGCTTAGTTTGAGGATGCCACAATGATTGTTTGAACTCCCGGTGTCCCCTGAATAACCCCTACATAATCTCCTAGATAACCCCCTTTTGGGAGTTTCGACTATAGACTATAGCTCATGTAGGGGGGTCACCAGAAATTCTAGAGTCATACGAGTCATGCGTTCCTGAAGCAGGCCAGAGCGCAGGCGGATAGCAAAGCATGCGCTCTCGGTTTTGCCCTTTGTCGTCATGGTTTGTTAGCACGTCACAGCTGCGAAGTCCTGTGACTTAGGCAGTGAAACCTGCACGTAAATTGCGTGAATGCTTGCGGGGACACTTGAAAGCTTTAACATGCGCAGACATTATCGATCATCTACGAAGTTGGCACGCCGTTCGTAAGCAGCCTGTACAATCGGCGATCATGCTCGTCCCAGCTTTCCTGACTTTCTGAAAGTTCTTCCGAGGGGTCCTCATGCACATCACCCATGAAACGAGCTTGCATCTGTCTTGGCGTGTTGTGGAAGTTGTTCAGGGTCACGTGTAGGTAGGTTGGCCCTCCCGGAGGCCGGAAACCTGAGTAGAGTGGTCTGACCGACACCTGGCGGGCACACAAGTATTTGTGGCACTCGCCGGGCACTTGGATCATGACTGGCGGAAGTGCTTGTGGCGCTGGGCATCTTCCTCCAGAAGCTGCACTGGCATACTGGCACAGGTTCGTCTTCAGCGCAGGCCAGTCTGAAGGACGGACGAATTTCTTTAAAGTAGGCATGCCAAGTTTCAATGTCGGTTGGGTTGTCATGCGTGCGAAATGCAGATGCGCTTCTGAGATGTCGAAAAGGTCGGTGCTGCAGTCCAGCAGAAATTTTATCTGGGACAACTCCTCCAGGACTTCGACGGCGTCGCCATCGCAACTGCTGCTCCCGCACTCGGACCCTGGGCTATCCCTACTCTTCGCAAAGCTGCCAGTCCCAGTCAAACGGTTTCGACAGCTCGGACTGTTTGGATCTTCAGCTTTGAGACGGGCATCTGCGTCCTCAATCAGCGCCAGCAAGTGGCGATCTGTCGAGTCGCCAAGTCTGGACAAGCGCTTCGGCAGCACGACGTGAAAAACATCCATCGGAATTTGTATGCCCCTATCTCCCTTCATTTTGACCCGCAAGCATCGGGGCGTGGCGTAATCATTGATTCCATCAGCTGTAGATTCTGCAAGGAAGTCCTCGAGCCTGGTGTAGCCGTAGCCCTTCTCCTCGGTGATGAAGTCAGAAAACTTTCTTCCAGACAAGTCTTCCTGGGTGCGCAAGAGGCGCGGGAGGCAATTGGAGGCCCCACATATGTGGGTGCTGCCATCAAGTATCACGTTGCCATCACAGAGACCCTTCAGCATGCACTGAAAGGCTGACACCAACGCACCAGAGTCCTCTGCTTGAATAAAGGCTTCCATGCGGTCCCGATGGATGTTTAGGGTCGTGATGGGAATGGCAAGGCAAGTGATGCTAAGGTGGAAAGCTTGGTTGGTCCAGAACCAGACAGTCAAGGCGTCAAAGCCGCACGTCCAAACAGTCGTCCCAACGTTTGCTGCAAACCAAAAACCTGACATCACCAACAAAAAATCACGATCCGGAAACGCAACGGCCAAAATCAACTGACCTCGGGCGATCATCTCTCTTTGCGCAACGAAGTCGTCCGTGTCTGCTTTGTCTGACAGAACTGCACCAAGGAAGCCGAAAAAAACAGAAGCATGGATCATGCCGCAGGTGAGCCTAGCCATTTTTGGTGTTGCTGGCACGGCTTCATTAACAGCAGCCAAATAAACGACATAGCCTGAGCAGAGACCCACAAGCCACATTGCGGGGGCTAAGTCAAAGCTTTGCCAAGCTTTACACATCTCGCAGCAGATCGGCCCTAGCTGAGCGTGAGCAAAATAGGATCTGCAGGCAGTGAACCACGATCTGGCCAAGATATTGTCCAGCTCTTGAACACCCAGCTTGTCGGTCTGCTCTTCGCTAATCTGCGTGCTAATCTGCTGGGTCTTCCGGTGAAAGTTCGAGGACTTGCTGCTCAAGGCGAAAAACCAGTGCACCGCAAGAATGCCCAGAAAAATGGAAGCCACCAAGGACCGTGCGATCGCAGCATCAAGCAGAGGCCCATCTGCCCAGGGCGTCTGCCCCATCTGACAGACAAAGCCTGGTATTTCAACCAAATTGCAGACAGGCATGCTTTCTTGGGCCATAATGATCACCATGAACAATGATACAATCAACACATATGAGCAGCATCAGAACGGCCGCATTTTTGGACATGCCCTGGATTTGTCGAAGCGAGGCTAGATGAGGCAAGTGCGCAAGTCCCGGGGCCACGGCCTCATCTTCCTGGAAGTGTCTGACCACGAACGCGGCCTCTGAATGCAAGCTAGTGCCAGGCAGAGCATCGCACATGTGGAAGTTATGGCCTCCACTCGCACATACTCTGTGGTCCCATCCTCCCTGAGGACAGCCTCAGCGTTTCACCAGCACATACCTGACGGTGCAGTGCGGCCACAGGCTTACAATGGCCTTGAGGTCACCAAGGTGCGCCATCAGGGATAAACGTGAAGATATGTAACTTTGACTTCATTGCAATTGTTCGAACATGTGCTGCCTGCAGGGTTCTGATTGGCCAGGAGCTTGCCGAACTTTTTTTTTGGACATGCCATGTGGGACCGAGCCAATCTTGAAGCTGCTTGGCTGCAAGATGCAGGGAGTGCCTGATAGTGCGCATCCTGAACAGCAAGCGGCTGTCAGCTAGGTGGAGAACGCTGCTCCACTTCTGTAGTTATGAGTTATGCAGGTATGCCTTCAACCAGGGAAGTGGCTTCGACTACACCCCACGAGAGCATCATGTTGGCGCGGTTCCCTATGGGACTGCCTTCGGAGCCACCGGGATCTGATGCTGCAAAAGGTGGCTCACGTTTTGGGAAGCGCGCATCATGAGCATCAGCGCCTCCAGTCCCGGTGTGCAGGGAAGGGATTGAGTCTGCAAGCTTGCTTTCCTTGTGGACTTACGGATCAGGACTTACCCTAAATCGGCTGTGGAGCTACGCTGCGTCCAAAACTTCACCGAGCCAAGGCCTGGCTAAAAAGCGTCCCCACCAAATCCTCTTGCCATGGTCTAGTTTTTGGCCTGACTTGGGTGATCCCAGACCATGGATGGGTGCATTCCGGCGTGAAGCTCTGAATCCCCAGGCCCTAGCCTCGAGCCATCTCGAGCCCCACACCTGAAGTTACTTTCGTTCGTGCTGCGTCACTTGGGTGCTCTTGGGGCCGTGCACTCCTCTGAACAAAAGAACATTGGTTGGGGCCCGCGTAAGTTTGAGGGTCGAATGATGGCTTTATGTTGGTCCTTTAACAACCCTCGGGCGGACACTTCTCTAAAATTATGGCACCTTTTTGGGCAGCCGGACACCCTGAACCCTATCCTTAAACAGGGCCGAAGCCTGAAGCACAACTTCTTACCCCCCACCCCTCAACGCGCCGTGACCGTACCACCCCCCCCCCCCATCCCCCGTGCAGTCGGGCACCCGCGTACGTGGGATGTCCAAAAGCTTATTGGCTGGGTCGGTGACCATGTAGGCGCAGCGCATTTAATCTCCCATTGCAACAAAGAGGACACTGGCATAATTATTTCGCGAACACCCCGTCAATGCACTTCCCTGCTCCGTTCTATGCATGGGGCGGAAGATGCTACAGGGACAGCATCGACTGCAGTGATTCTGCCGCCAAAAACCCCAAAAAGCAAGTTTGCACAGGAGCAGCATGAAAGAGTCCAGGAATCCATGCCACAAACCGATGCTTCAATAAGAACACATGCATTCTGCAGACGAAAGATTGACATTCACATGGCATGCCCCAGGATGAATGTCCGATCGTGCTTGGTCGCTCCAATCTATTTCTGTGTGTTGGACTTGGTTGTGGTCTGACTTCGGTGCTATCATACAACACACATGCAACTAACCCAAAAGACATGGACAAATGAAGCCTGAAAGTGCACACACCCGAGCCGCCTGACACGAATCCAGCCCTGGGCCTGAAGGGAAACCATGACAAACCTAACCACCCGAGCCCTGTGATGCTGCAAACACGAGCTGCGTGCATCCGGCCCGTGTATCGAAGGGAGACAATGGGGGAACCACACATCCGAGCCAACATGACACCCATCCGGCCCAGTGCATTCGTGAAGGGGTCGAGCGAGTCAACGAACGAAGTGAAAGACATGAACGCCTAAACAATAAACTTGTAAATCCAACAGGAAAACGTAGACACATGTACAAACTCTGGCTGTCACTATGGGAGCCTAACCCTCGCACCACGCCGAGCGGCCGCTGGAACCCCGACATTATGCACATCCCGAGGCAATGTTGACGCATGCATCAATAATTCAAGTAGGGTGGGGTGTAAGGGCCATTAGCCACCATTAAGGGCTAGAGACATGGCAAACAAGAACGAGCGCGACTTCGTGAGGAGCTAGCTTTCGTCACACCCTGCCGAGCCTAGACTGCTACACTTCACCCACAGCCAGTCGCTCCCTTTTGCTGCAAGGAACGGCTCACCGGTGGGATTCCCCCAATCAGGGACTGCTCCAAGAGCCTGGCGCAAACTCAGGCCACTCTCTGTGTCTGCGGTGTGGCAATGCGCGGGTCGGTGCGGAGCGGCGCGGATGCGTGCGGATCGGTGCTGTACGGCGCGGTACGGCACGGCACGGTGCCACAGTGCACCGTTGTGCTGTATGAACTTCAAGCGAGGATACCTTGCCCATCGACACGTTCCAGGCGCTGCGAATAACGGCCTGGAGCGATGCCGTGGTAAGTGGGGAACGAAGCACGGGTCCACCAAACAGAACCGACACCAAAACCATCCAAGCTTCTGACAAACTTCGAAGGCCTGAAGCATCGCTGCCTCGGCTACCTCGCACCAAAACGGGATCCCAGCCTTAAGCCCGAAGCCCTAGCCCTAAGCCCGAAGCCCGAAGCCCCAAGCCCTAAACCCTAAGCCCCCCCGCCCCATCCACCCCACCCCCCCCCATCCCTTTTGTTGGCCCCTAGTTGGAGGGTCTTGGAGGCTATGTTGGCCCCTCTTAGAGGGTCTTGGACTATGTTGGCCCCTGGGTGGATGTTGGCCCCTCTTCTTGGAGGCGTTGGAGGGTCTGGCTGGGCTGGGCTGGGCTGGGCTTGGAGGCTATGTTGGCTCCTCTTACCCCCCACCCCCCCCCCGCCCCCACCTTCTTCCTCCCACCCCTGATACCGCACGAAGCCAAATCTCGGAGCCCCCCCCAAAGCTTTCAACTTTACACCTCAAACCGAACCTGTACACAGCTGGCAAGCAACACAGGTGAAGCGACAGTGCGAGCGCTTGTTGTCCGACACATGCCGCCTGAGGCTACCCCCCCCCCCCTTTACCCCCCCTTCCCCCTTCCCCCCCCTCTGCCCCTCCCCCACCCCCCCGCAACCCCCAAAAACCCTGCCCCCGCGCTTGTTGCCCGACGGGCACCCCCCCGCACCCCCACTACCCCTTCCTGCCGCCTCGGTACCCTTAAAATTCCACTTAATTACACCGTGACTTTGCAGCGAGCAGAATACGGGGAATATGCGGCGCCAGGTTGCAGCTTTGATCGGTGCAGGACTTCCTGCACCATGGCGGCGTCCAGGCGCTCGTAGCGCTTTGAAGCTGGGTGAAGGAAGTACACAGGGTCCTGGACCTGCAGCTCGCTGCAGACGCACGTTGCATTGATAGGCACTACACATACACCACACAACTCCTCAAGGACAGAACCACTGGTCACCTGGAAGCCAACATGTCGGGTCCCACCTTCGTTAGGTCGATGCCTTCATTTCTCAACTGGACCTCGTATCAGGGGCAAAGTATGCCATGCCTGTGGAGATGACTGAGATTACTGAGATTACCTGCCTCAGAGTGTGCATATGCCAACCATGCCTACCGCTGGCAGATGGGATGTCATGTGTTGGCCTTCTGGTGTTTGAAGGTGCCGGTGACTTCCATGGACGGCAGGAAGCGCAGGAAAAGTGGCCGAGCGTAGCTTGGCAACTCCTTCAAGACACTCGGATCGGATGAGAAAGGCAGTGTTCATGTGGCTATGCAACGGCGAAACTGCCGAGCAGCCTCTGGCAAACAGCTCACAATGCCAGAGCTCCACTCTGCGAGCCAGCAAACCCCCACGGCTACCGCAGCTCCATGCTAATTCGACAGGGGTCGGCTGGAGTAGGCAGTGGTAACGGACCGCGGCGCTAACGTTCAGCGATGAGAACCTGGTGCTGACCGGAACCCTTCGCTTGGAAAAGCTGCCTCGTTGGCTTTCGCGCTTTTTATAGAAACAGGAATCCAACTAGCGAGCGAATTACAGGCCAAGTTTTTATGGGTGCCGATCGCCCAGAGAAAGTAATCATATGCAACAACAGTTCAGCCCGCCTGGAAAGCGAGCTGCTCTAAACGAACGAACCAACGCAAAACATGTAAACTACATGAACACCCTATCACTGCAGTTGTCCGAGGCTACAGAGCATGGAAACCCATAGCTCCGAAAGGCGTCGATGTCGACCCATGTCGACCCTTTCGGCCCCACCCGACGCATGCTGTCAGAACCCCCAACATGCGCGCACACACCGTGGAGACGTAATGATTTGTGAAGATTAAGACTAAGTTGCGAGAACAAGAACATCGCAATAAGAACCTCACGAAGAATGGTGACGTGTCATGGCTGACCCGGTGCCAGCATGCGCCAGCCTTCTCGCAGAGGGCCTGTAGCGCGTCCAGCTTCTCTCTGTTTTGAAGCTCCTGCTCCGAGCGAGCATGTTTCTTTCATGTTCCGCTGGGGTTCCAGCTTCGCGCAATGTGAGAGCACTCTCACGATTCTGCCTGCGAACCGTTTAAGGCGGCCATGCAGGCGCGTCCATCAGATTCACCCGGCACCTGGCGTTGACGAGGCTAGAATTTAAAAAAGAAGAATCCTGTGCCACCTGGGGATTCGTATCGGAGGCCCGTCCCATGTTCTGGGCTCTGCGCAGTGCAAAGTATACCGTAAACCCATAGGAAGACCACCTTGAAAACAAGATCCGAGCTGCCCCGAACGAACATTTGCACCTCTCAACACAAGTTGCCTTTTACGTCGGTGCAGCACACCACGCGCAAAGGCCCAGGCGACCCGAGACAGTATTCCTCCCTTCCGTGCATCGCCCGCAAAACCCACAGAGAGCATGAGGCTCCATCAAGAGCGGACGAAGGGTTTCCTGGCAAAGCGGTAGTCCATGTGCACCGCAAGAAACCTCCAAGAGCCATGGGTGGGGGAGCGCTGCTTGTTGACACACCCTGCATTTGCGACGCAACATTTGCTGATGGGTGTCTGTGTCGGAGAGAAATGCAAGGAGATTCGTTGGCGGACCCAAGGGTGTCTGAGGTTTAGCTAGCTTGGCGAGCCTGCTTGTCCAGTACTCTTGGGTCGCTGCTTCCATTAGCGAGCGCAGGGAATGGCAGGCAGCATTTTGCCCATTCTCTTTCGCGCCTTCCTTCTTGTGATTCTCGATCCGACTCTCGTTCCGACGTGAAGTAATGGCCAACCGCGCAAATTCGAGGCAGGCGTTCTGCACCTGGCATCGGACCACATCTCCCGCATCCCCGAGGGCACGGTGGCTGTTGAGGCCTTTGCTGCCTTTGCTGTCTTTGACAACGAGGTGCATGAGCCGATCCAGGAGGCGCTGTGTCTCGGTCCCATCGGAAAGCGGCCGGCGCTCTGCAAGGCTCTTCGATACAAAGCCTTTCAGAGCTTTTTTGTGAAGGCTGGCCGCGGATGTCCTGTCCAGCAAAGATGTCATCTCCGCGTCTGCTTTTTGCTCTGATGCTGCTGCTACCTTTTCGAAGATGTCAGCTAAGTCCCAGATCTGCTCGAGGCACAGTTCCATCAAGTCCGAGCTGTTTGAGCTTGCTTTTGGAGATTTGAAAACAAGGTCAAGGTCCGTGCATTTTCTCTGCGTCTGTATTTGCCAGGACTCCGCGACATCCCAAAGGCTACAATAGAAGAAGGAAAGCTGACTCTGATGCAGTGCCTGAACCAGACTTCTCAGCATGGAATTGAAGGAATGCAGCGGGCTTCCCACCGGAGTAACTAACAGCGCGCTTGCTGTTCGCTGCTGCGTTGTCCTTTCGGACACGGTGATGGACTGCAGCGCCAGCATGCAGTGAGAAGGTGACATAGCAAGACCACAGAACAGGGAGCTCCCTTTGCGTGCCTCTCGCTCTCGCGCTGCAGCCCTCACCATACGTGCGTCCAGTCGCAGAGCCTTCTGCTCCACTGCCGTCAGCCAGTTCTGCCAGCTGCCGGGAACGAGGCTGCAAAGCCTGCCAGGACTCAGCGTTCCGCTTCTCTTGCTCGGAAGCTGCCAGAGAACAGCGTGCCCAGAGGAATCCATAGAGAGAACGTCTGCACGCCAAGAGTTGGAGTAACCTGAGTCGTGGGCAGAGTTCAGAATGCCAGCTGCCGCGCACAAGACAGACACTACTGGGATCGCGTGGCACGGTGTACTGGCCGCATATGCTGAGACACCTTTCAGATCCCCATCCTTGTTGCAGTGTACCACAGCAGCAGAGACAAGAACTCCATGCCCCACTGCAAGGTACACCTCGACTTCTTCCCATGCATCGGTCAGAAGGGCGATTTGCCCAACACGCCCAACACAGAAGGGCGCGTTGACCACTTCAAGAACAGGAGTCTTGCAGAGAGGAGCGATGGACAAGGAGCCATCGCCATGCACGGTGACCTTTTTGACATGAACCTGCCCCTTGCTGCTGGCAATGGCCAACAGACTAAGCAAGCTCCCGTCCGAAGCTTGCCAGATAGAGGATGCGGCAACGGCCGTGATCTCCACTGATGGCTCAAGAGCAATGTGCTTCAGCCGAGAGCCTTTGCCGCTTTTGCAATTCTCCGCAAACCTTGGACCGAGCTTCCAAATCACCAGGGACGAGCCTCTACAAGCACAGAGGAGAGCAGCAGCTTCAGCGACTTCCTGCTTGCCAATGCACAAAGGGGAGGGCCAGAAGCATAGGTCAAGAACAGCAGCCCGAGATTCTGCTCCCGTCGCTTCAAGGAAGTCTTCACTCAGGTCAACTAGAGCACTTTCTTCGAGGTCCAGAGGTCCATCACTCTCAGAAAAGCCAGAATTGTCGCAGGGCGCGAGGACACATAGTCTTCCTCCAGAATCAAGAACCGCCAACAGGGAACCCCTGTGGCCCAAGGGCGACCATGCTGCGGCTATGAAGAAGTCCTTCCGGTGCTCGAGAAAACTCTCCAACTGGCTGGGCTCCTTGGGCTCTGTCCGCGACCTCTTAATTTGTGCTTTTGGCGCTTTTGCCTGCGTTGGTCGCTTGTACTTCTTGACAAGGGAAGGCTCCGAGGTCTTCTCAATCGCAGCTTGCATGTCGACCACATGGCATTCATCGTCCGTCAAGAAAGCCACCAGCGTTCCTTGCGACCAACACGGCGTCTTAGAGCCCGAAGGATGGCCTAAAACAAGAGCAGCCGAAGCCCATGGCAGCTCAGTGAGCTCGGGCATACCAATACCACGGCGCCGCACACCGCACAGCTCCCAGCGAAACCATGCGAAACCCACAGCCGGACCTGTGCACCCGGCAAAGTTCGTGCAGCTCGATCCCAAGCGGAGCATGCGGAGCTCAAGATCTGCAGAGGAGCCCATTCGTCGCGCTTAGCACAATTGGCACAAGCCTTGCACTAACAGATACTAACTGCTGACCTCGCACTAACTTAAAAGAGCTTTTCAAAAACTTCACACAACCTCACAAACACACACCCACACACACCAACGGTCACCACCGCGGCAGCACCGCGGCATCCTTGCCTTCACACCGTAGACATTGGCTTCCTCGACACCTGGGAAACTGGAGAGGACCTGTGACACCTCCATGGTGCTCACATTCCTCAGCACGGACACTCAATGCGCCGGCTGAAACATGGGGGTGGCACACGAAATCACACGAAGCAGAACTGCCGTAGTGCCATCTTTTGATCACGAAGCGAGTGCCAACTCAACTGCCAAGGAGCTCGCCCTTCCACCTGGCAGACTTGGCAATTGCGGCTCAAGCTTTTGCAGCCACGTGTCAAGCTTACAAGGATGAGGCTGTCCGGCTCTTCCATATATTGTGCAGGAAAGAAAACCAAGATGCACCACTTTAGTGACAATGCGACTCCCTCACGCAAGAAATCCAAAGGCACCATGCTCGGGTCACAAGAAAATCTACAGAAAATCTGTTCGCGTCTCGGGACCCCTCTTCTCGGTTCTTTGGCCTGGCATGGGTACCCCGCCTTGTCGACCAGCAACCGAGAGAGGACACAATCCCCTACGAGACTGTCCATGAACCCTGTATGGAACTTGTGTTGGGTCAGCCGCGGATTCGGAAACTGGAAACGCGCGGATTCGGAAACTGGAAAACCCTGATTCTGGAAACTACAAAACGCGGATTCGGAAACTGAAAACGCGGATTCGGGAAACCAGGATTCGAGAAACCAGCTGATTCAGGAAACTGGAAAACGCGGATTCGGAAACCAGCTGATTCAGGAAACTGGAAAACGCGGATTCGGAAACTGGAAACCGCTGATTCAGGAAACTGGAAAACGCGGATTCGGAAACCAGCTGATTCAGGAAACTGGAAAACGCGGATTCGGAAACCAGCTGATTCAGGAAACTGGAAAACGCGGATTCGGAAACTGGAAACCGCTGATTCCGGAAACTGGAAAACACGGATTCGGAAACCAGCTGATTCAGGAAACTGGAAAACGCGGATTCGGAAACCAGCTGATTCAGGAAACTGGAAAACGCGGATTCGGAAACCGGCTGATTCAGGAGCATCCTCCCCCCCCTCCCCCGACTTTTCAACAGGCTGGAGTGCAATGCTTTGTCCTGGACGCTATCATCCCCCCCCCCCCAACCCCCCCCCCCCCCCCCCCCCCCCGCCGTGACACCCAGTTTCAACAGGCTGGAGCCCAATGCAGTTGCTTGAATGGCTGCTGCAGCCCAGTGCGCTTGAATGGTTATTAGTGTCACAAAGCAGCCTTGTCCTGGACGCTATCATCCCCCCCCCTCGAGACCCAGTTTCAACAGGCTGGAGCCCAATGCTGTTGCTTGAATGGCTGCTGGAGCCCAATGCTGTTGCTTGAATGGTTAGTGTCACAAAGCAGCCTTGTCCTGGACGCTATCATCCCCCCCCCCCCGAGACCCAGTTTCAACAGGCTGGAGCCCAATGCTGTTGCTTGAATGGCTGCTGGAGCCCAATGCTGTTGCTTGAATGGTTAGTGTCACAAAGCAGCCTTGTGCTGGACGCTATCATCCCCCCCCCCCCCCCCCCCCCCCCCCCCCCCCCGCCGTGACACCCAGTTTCAACAGGCTGGAGCCCAATGCAGTTGCTTGAATGGCTGCTGCAGCCCAGTGCGCTTGAATGGTTATTAGTGTCACAAAGCAGCCTTGTCCTGGACGCTATCATCCCCCCCCCTCGAGACCCAGTTTCAACAGGCTGGAGCCCAATGCTGTTGCTTGAATGGCTGCTGGAGCCCAATGCTGTTGCCCAATGCTGTTGCTTGAAGGGCTGCTGGAGCCCAATGCTGTTGCTTGAAAGGTTTGTCCTGGACGCTATCATCCCCCCCCCCTCGAGACCCAGTTTCAACAGGCTGGAGCCCAATGCTGTTGCTTGAATGGCTGCTGGAGCCCAATGCTGTTGCTTGAATGGCTGCTGGAGCCCAATGCGCTTGAATGGCTAGTGTCACAAAGCAGCCTTGTCCTGGACGCTATCATCCCCCTTTTCCGAGACCCAGTTTCAACAGGCTGGAGCCCAATGCTGTTGCTTGAATGGCTGCTGGAGCCCAATGCGCTTGAACGGTTAGTGTCACAAAGCAGCCCCCCACATTTCAACAGGCCCGAATCGCGCGGTTTCTTGAATCGCATGGTTTCCTGAATCGCATGGTTTCCTGACTCGCGCAGTTTCCTGAATCGTGCAGTTTCCTGAATCGCGCAGTTTCCTGAATCGAGCAGTTTCCTGAATCGCGTGGTTTCCTGAATCCGCTGGTTTCCTGAATCGCGCAGTTTCCTGAATCGCGCAGTTTCCTGAATCGCGTGCTGTCAGTTTCCTGAATCGCGCGGTTTCCTGAATCGCGTGTTTTCAGTTTCCTGAAACTTGTGGTTTCCTGAACCGCGGTTTCCAGAATCGCGGGAAAACAGTTTCCTGAAGCGCGCAGTTTCCTGAATCGCGTGGTTTCCTGAATCCTGGTTTCCTGAATCGCGCAGTTTCCTGAATCCTGGTTTCCTGAACCCTGGTTTCCTGAATCGCGTCCAGTTTCTGAGTCGCGCATGGTTCACCAAACCAAGCCTGGCATCCCGAAATGCGCAAAGATGGCTAGTTCGCGAGGAGACCCATAGTGAAACTACCCAATGTAGCAAAACTCGTCAGCTGTGTGTCGGGCGTCAGCTCTGTGCCGGGCCTTGTCTTTCGTCTGTGCCCACGCCTGAAAACACGGCCGCAGACTTGGATGGTTAGGGGGTCAGTTTAAGGTTCGATCTGATTCCAAGGAACTTGGGGATGTTTGGAGGTGGCGAACTCTTCAATGCTAGAGGCATGTCTAATGGTTCAAGCCTGAGGATGACGCTCGGCAAGGATCTAGAACACAAAGCTTTCCCTGGCTGGTGGCGGTTGCGTATCTGCGTCTTGGATTTACCTGGGCTTGCGGTTCAGGTCCACCGGCCAAAATCTCGGAGATGATGTCCTAACTAATTAGTGCTGTCGCCCGGCATACGCGCTCTCTGTCGTTCTGCACCTTACTGTGTAGACTCCCAACAGTCCTTAGCGCAACGCATTTGAATGGATCTGAGATGGATTTGAGTGCCGGAGCTTTGGGAGCAGAACTTCACCCAAAGGCGGAACAATTCGAAGTCGTCCAGCGTCTAAGAGACATTTCACGAGGCAAGCGCCCGCACGAGCGCGGGACAGTGATGAGAGCACGATTTGGACCACGAGCTGCGCACGGGACTGAGGCCAGAGCTCAAATCTGACACATGCGATGACGCAAAAAGCTTCGGATTTTCGACTGAGCGGCGCCTAGGCCCTAGGCCAGAGCCTTACTTCCCGCATCAGGGGGTCAAAACTCACCCTTCTCCACCCTTGGCCCTCACCCCCCCCCCCCCCCCCCCCCACCACCGCACACCCCCCCCGCCCACTCCTCCCCCACTCCCCCGCCCTCCCCCCCCCCCCCCCCCACGACCCCCCCCCCCCACGAACCCCCCCCCCCTCCCCCCCACCCCCTCCCACCACCCCCCCCCCCCCCCCCCGCCCCCCCCCCCCGCCCGCCCCCCCCCCGCCACCCCCCCGCCCCCCCCGCCCCCCCCCCCCGCCCCCCCCCCCCGCCCCCCCCGCCCCCCCCCCCCGCCCCCCCCCACCCCGCCCCCCCCCCCCGCCCCCCCCCCCCCCCCCCCCCCCCTCCCCGCCCCCCCCCCCCCCCCGCCCCCCCCCCCCCCCCCCCCCGCCCCCCCCCCCCCCCGCCCTCCCCCACCGGCCCCCCCCCCCCCGAGATCATGGCATCGAGTACATGAAAAACCTTAAACTAACGTGGATGAGGCACAACTGCACGTCGCTGTGAGAGCTGAGGGCAGGCCGAATTAAATCTAAAGGCTTCGGATGCGAAATCCTACACAGGTGCAAGAGGAAGCATGCCGGAGGAAGTCCTCGGCACTTGAAGAACCCCCGACAAATGTCTGAAGATCTATACAGATGTGCAACCAACAACGGGGCACACGTCGCTTCTTCACTGTTCCAGGCCTGTCTGCCTGGCATCTTTCTTCTTGCCTGCATGGGGTGCACTCAATCTCAAGAATCGAGGGCAGCTCTCCTGCAGATCATGACATACAAGGTGGAATCTCTTCAGTTGCCAGCTCTGTTGGCCTCCGGGTTTCTTCTTGGCAGCCGTCGATGTCACTGTCGCTCTCTGCTTGGGCTGGGCCTGGGCTCACGGTTTGAGAGTTTCAGTGTGGGGAAGGCTTAAGTTGGGATCGGACGGTCAAGGCTCAATAGTTAAAGAGCAAAAGACTTGCATGTTCTTTAGAGTGCCTGCCCACGCTTCTCAGCCTAGTCTTCTGCCTTGACACTTGGGTGCCCATTGCAGCCAGGAAGGGGAGGAAGGGGTGTGGAGTTGTTACAATCACCGCCCTTCAAGAGTGATGCCTCGGCAAAGGCGCCACACTGCACGCACTGCACCCTGGACGCTGGGTCTCGAGATCAAGCACCTACACATAACAACACACTGGGAACGCAGCGGCCTGATGACAAGCCTTGGCTTTTGGGGCCCGAGCGACCGAACGCCTCTCCGAAGTGGTTTGTTCCACCGGGCTGCCGAAGTGGGTAGCTCCATCGGGCCTACTGCAAGGGCCTCACTGCAAATGACTGGACGACCCAGAGCATGATCACTGCAAAGCCCAAGTAAGATCGCTGCAGGTGGCCCTCCACTGTTTCATGTTCCGTCTATACGCTGTGAACCGATAATGGCCACATACGGCAGTCTTTCGGGCTCTTGAGGGTTTGAAGACTCGTCGTGACCCGTTGGTTGGTGCTGGTGCTTGTGACGTCAAGCGCTTTTGTCCGACACAAGCGATCTGAGTTCTGGCTGAAACATGAGTCGTGATAGTTGGTGGGAGCAACG